TTCCTCATAGGGCTGAGCTATCAGTCATGATTGGCACGGAGAGGTACAGATCGCAATCCGAAATGATGCTGCCTTTGCTTCTCTTACCCGAGCCACAAAATTGCAAAGCACATGTAAGCTATCCTTGCCAATCATTTACCAAAAGCACCCCAGGTTCAACGGTTAACTGTTTGTAGTGTATTCCTGGAAAGCTAGAGCTTGGCTTGGGAACGAACCTATGGGGGGGTTTTCGGACGCCCCAGGGCTCGAAAGTACCCAACCCTCGTTGAAACGTACCGCCTGTACCCACCATGGAAGGTCTGTGCCATGGAACCTCCATGTGGTAGATCATGATTTTCGCAGGGTGCCATCGTGTGGCCCCCATCATGCCTTTCCGATTTGGGTAATGAGTGCGACCAGCAGATCGGACAAATTGATGCCCCGTGTGAACACTGCACACTACCTACAGTGGTACAATGTAGACATTTTGGTGAGAGCCCCTGAAAGAAGTTATTTCGAGCCCCTGAACATGTGCAAGGCATATTTCGTTCTTCTAGCGCGCTGGGCAAGGCAGAAATTGCTTAGCGAGCTCCATCGCAGTGCTTGCTTGGAAACCAGGCTAGCACACACCACGAACGCGTCAAACGCAAGGTTATAGCTCCGGAGCAATTGTAACCTACGCCTTTGAAGTTCGTGACCTGTATTTGGCGGTTGTTCTCCCATTATGCCCTTGTGCCTCAAGCCTCGGGCGGGGGATCCAACTTGCCACGCTAATAGTAAGTTTCAACAGAGCCCGCCAATCAAATTGTGAAAATTCAGCGGATCAATTCCATCCGATCCGCGCCTTACCTAGGTACCTACCTTCCTACCTAACCTTAGAACCTACATTCCTACCTAGCGGTCCATCGGGCGTCGGCACGGCCGACAACTTCAGGACGCTAACGTTATAGGGTACCTAGTGAGCTTGACAGTGGGGCAAGGCGTTGTGATAGTCCGAATACGCACCATTGACCCAGTTTCTTGGTACGCACGTACGACGTACCTATTCTCTACCTATCTCTGGATAATCGCGCGCTGTTCCCTTCAATAGCCGGGTTACCTCGGTACCTTGAGTGTTGGATGGGAGGCTCGACTTCAAGCAGGGCAGTGTGGGTACCTAGGTCCCTACCTAAGATATTCGAAGTGCTTCGAGACATACAGTCGGGCGCATATCAGGCGGTCGCAGAATGCCAGTGGTCTTGATCCAAAGGAGAAGGAGTAAACGAGAAACTCAGAGCCTCATGGACGACGACGCTATTGCCCATGTGGAGAAGAAGGGCGAGCCTCCAGAGTCCAGACCAGGCCCTGCACGTGGACACGCTTGGCTGTTTTGAACCTTGACAGACAGGAGACAGTTGACACATCGTGAGCGTTAACCCGAAGAGCACGAGGCGTTCCCCATCCCGTAGCCCGGGGCCAGTCTAGACGATATTGGGCATGCAGCCGTCCCAAAGCGCGATGGTACGACGCATGAAGGCCGCTGAGGTCCCAGCTTGGCAGCTCAGCACCTCGAAAACCTGCCTGTTAAAAACGTCTTTAACAACCCTCTTCGACGCTCTACAGACTAGTTGATGCGGAGTTGATTGTTCTCTGCATGCCCCTATGACGGGCGGCGTCGCCGTGCTGAACTGAAGCACACGGGGGTTGCCATCAGCAAATTGTGGACTCTGGGCCAACACTGGGAGGTTCCGCGTCTCTACGCCCTGGCTTTTTTTTTTGCAACGGGACTTTCCACCTCCCATGCTACGCTACCTATAATGAACTGATCTTATTACCTCTCAAATGTTGCGCACGGAAGCGGCGCTTTGACACACAAAGTCCAGAAGTTTTTGGAAACGAAACGAACTACCGAGATTACAACCAGACATGGGGAGATATCACTTGAAGAATATGAAGTGACACATATAGGAATGAACCCGTTCAATGCCCTCAGTGTTACACGGCGACATGCTCCCGCTTGCCCGTCCCCAGTGAATCGGGCGATGCAGAGTGCAGACCACCCCCCCCCCCCCCCAAATCGCTTACCCGCATCTCTGGGATTTCGTATGAAGACACCATGCATGGGTCCAATGTCTCCAGGATCGGCTTGGCGCACACGCACAGAGTGATGGAGATTGGCAGCGATGTAACTGCGGGCGCTTGGCTCTAAATTTGGGAGATGAGTCGCTCAAACACGAGGCGAGGCAATCCGGCGCGAGATTGAGGTGAAAATCGACGATTCACGAAGGAGGCGACGAGACATGCAGGCGGTCTGCGGGAAATTAGTGCCAAAGTTCGCCAACACTGTTTCACCCTGAACTGGCCCCCACTCTGGCCTTGACAGGGGGCCCAACTGTCATTCCCCAAGTTCCCTTCCCAAGTTCCAACACAACACAGGAGTAATAAGGCTAGTGCAGAAGCGACAAAGACACACCCCGGACGCCATGATCAAGCCCAGTTGGCAGTGGCCCATCACTGCCGGACCAGGGGCAAGGGGCTCGCCCACTGCTGGGGAGATTCCAACAGCACAGCCGTGTTCTAGATGGGTGGTGGCGCCGGCGCCGGCGACGGACGGTGCTAGTGGTGGCTGCCGTCGGGGACGCAGAACGATGGATAAGGGGCTCGCCCAATGACACCCCTTTCACTCAAGAAACAGCGCGCACGCATACGTCCGTACAGGACCAGAAAGGCAGCATCTAGCGGGGATTGTGTCAGTTCTCTTGGATTCATAAGATGGATGTAATACTACGCAGCAGGTGTACACGCATGCCGCCCGCCCGGCTGGGCCTCAATTGGCCTCGTTTCTCCCATGGATCTGGTCAATGGCGGTCCAGACCGCCGCTCTGCTGACACCCCACGGTTTTGCGCCATGTGATATCGGGCGCGAACAACGCCAGGAGGCCCAGAACCCAGGCTACATAGTACCAGATCGCGGTAGTTGTCTCGGTATGGCATATGCGCAGGGACTAGAATAGCTGTGGCGTACGCATAACGCATCCAAATCCGGTGAAGGCTTTGAGAGACAACGGCAAGTTCCATAGGTAGGTACAGATACGGGGTGCAAGGGTGGTATTGGTATATGTGCTGTGATTCGCCTGCAGGTGGTTACATGGGAGTGAAGATTACGGTCGTTACCAATCTCGTCAAAATACACGCTGCGACGTGCCCCCTGGGCTCTGGGACATTCCAATTTTCGTCTCTCGCTATCCATTCCCCTTTTCACTCGGGGGAGGTTGAGCGGCTCACTGCAAATATTTGCATATAATGCATCGACACTATACGAGTGCTGGGTAAGGTAGCGAGTAATGCGGGCGGGAGGCATCTCTCATATAGTAGGTGCCCACCATGAGGAGGAAATACATCTTAATATGTGGCTGTAATATCGATATGTACATTTAGTGCAGGTATCCGCAGGTATTGTACATACATACACTATAATGTACACACGTTGCGATCCCCTTGCCACCGCATGCCAAGCCGTGGGAATTGGCGTTCCCAGCGCAGTGGTTCGGGTCTTCCATTGCAACTTGGGGGGGGGGGGGGGGTGTTGGAAGGGATGATTAACCTTTAACCTTGACCTCCACCTCCACTCCCTCGCGCCAACACCCAACACCACCAACGCCGTACGTAAGGTATTGTACATACATACGTACCTTAAACCTCTTTTGAGGTCGTGATGCAGTAGTTGTTCCTCGAATGTATGAGCAGATATGGAAATCTAAGTCATACTTTTTGCCACTCGCCAACCGCTCGCTGGCATTGGATAATTCATATCCGTACAGGTCTACTGCGGTAGTCTCAGCCAGATTGAAGAGACTGGATGCTCGTTTAACTTTCCGCCCGCGTCGATCTCGAAACCCGCCGCAGCGGCACTGCTCTTCGTGATGATCCAGTGTGGGGATGGATGTTCTAGCCCTGACACACACAAGCCTGCCTTCGGTTCGCGCCGCGCTGACTGGTGCAACTCACTCAGCCTTGCTAAGAGCTGAGGGCCACCATTCCAATGCTACTCATGACGGTTAACTCTTCCCATTCTGTCCTAGTGAACGGAAGGAGCTTCCCAACAGCCGCCTAAGGAGACCGGCCACCCAACTCCCGCGCTACCAATTCTTGTGAGTGGGCCAGCGGCTTGTTTTACCCCATTTCTCTTCCTTCGTTTTCCCGCTTTTCCCCTTCTGCTCCTTCTTATCTTTGCGTCATTCTTTTCTTTTCCAGTGCATCGAAGTGTAGAAAATAAGAGGAACACACACCCCTGGAACTGGGCCTAGAATCTCGCTTCGACTGGTACAAGAAGATACCTGCGTTCAGTGACTCTTGGGCTCGGGGACCTCTGCATCCGAGATGAGATTCTGCAGAAAAAAAGGTCGCCGACCACTTTTTTGTGCATTTCCGCATTTCCACCCTGCCGCAGCACCAGTCACAGGGCAGGCATTCGCAGCAACAGCACACCACCCATGTGTGACCTCTCCCCCTAACCCCAAGCTTCTATTCTCGCCCTGCAGTGATTGTGCGCCACCACCCACGCCATGAGCAAACCCCAAACTCGAAGTCTCGTCAATTTTTTCTGCCTTCCAGCCTGCCGCCCTTTTGCCGTGTGGGAAACGGGCAGTCTCACTAGTGACCAGCCCCCATCATGGGTGCCTGAATTCGTTGTGGTTGCTGCTGTTTCCCCAGCCAGCCTGTTCCCACCCCAGTCTCTTCTTCTGGCTGGTCCCCGAGGTTCCACAATTGCGGTCTCCAAACTAGTGCCGCTTACCCCAGGGCTTCAGGCCGATCATCATAACTTACCAATCGTAAACCGTCCATTCAGCGTACAGGGCCGCATCTGGACAGCGCACACCACTGCAACCACAGAGTCACGCCCGGAATGGGGAATTGGTCCGCGAGATGCCACCCAAGATTCCTTCTCGGGACCGGGCGAATGGCGCCAGAAAGATGGGATCGCTGGGATGGTCTGCTGTTGAGCCGCATCATGCCAGAGATTCGGGGGGCCGCCATGTCCCACCACAGTTCTCTGAACTGGGCCTAGGCCTGCCTCTTTGGCTTCTCAACTCGAGTAAAACACCATCAGTCTTTTAGACGAGTATACTATGCATAGTAAAATCTAGAGTATAAAACAAGGAGGTAGGTCTAGTCCGCTCAAAGTCGAGCATCTATTTCTAAGTGGCTCTGACTGCCGCAAGGATAGCCTGAGAATCTTGCTTCAAACTAGCCGAGGACTTGTGAAGGCAGCACTGCTGCTCATGGGCCATATTCATTCGCGGTAGAATTCCATCAGCATCGCTTGAGAGACCAGAGCCCAGCGGCTGAGGATCAGACGTTGGCCACCTCGGTTCTCCATCCCCAACCACCAGGATGACTCTTGTCGAGCATCACCATCCCCGATACCTCACATATCTCCATAACCACGTTGCGCACTGCCTTCACCTCCTCCACCGTCGCACCCGCGTTGAGAGAACCTTTCAAGTGACCCTTCAGCTGCGGATTCACCTATTAGGAGAGTCAGTCAGTCATGCACGGCCGAGAAGGAGTTGGGGAAATGCTGACATCCTGCGGTATCAACGCGGCTATCAGGACAAAAGACGTCTCGACCGGCGTCAACACCTGCGTGTTGCTGAGGATATAGCCGTACATCAATCGCGCTGTGAGGCCCAAGTCCTCCGTCCCGGACCTGTCCATCTGGCCCATGACCCTCTTGGACACCTTGCCGTAGACCTTGTCGAAGTAGGTCTGCCCACGGTGGAGTATCTGCGATGACGGCACGTCGTAGACATCCACTGATCGCATCGTCGGAGAGCAGCCGAGCGGCTCATCAATCAGATGCTCCGGGGTGGCTTTCTTCAGTTCCAGAAGAGAGTTGATAGTCTATTGATCCGCATCAGCGGTACAGCCCTAAGGGCATCGGTTGGGCCAAACCGTAAAAGGCTATTATTGCCTTCGAGGCCTTGACCTTGAATGAACGGATATTCACCTTTGGTAAACCGCCTATTGCGGCAGCCTTGACCAGCGCCTCGCGCATCCGGCGGGTGATGCCGAGCTGCTCGTCCGGGCTGGCGGCGATATCGATATGGCCGGGTCCATTGTCTATGGCATGCTTATATACCTTGTGTATCTCATCAGGCCGGTTTAGTATAGACAGAGTAGTAGCCGCAATGAAGTACCACGTATTTTTCGGCAGATTTGGGTGCCTCCTGATAGACGACAAGAGAGACGGGGTGATGATGGCTGCCGGTAATGCGATCATGATAGATCTTATACCTAAGAACTTGGAAACTCGGAACTGCACATAACTGTTATCTACGCCAAAGCGGAAATATGCGAGGAGATCAAGTCCAAGTCTAGATAATAAGAGAAATTTCTACTCGAGTCTCAACCGCGTGTCAGTCATGACTGAATCACTCAACCGCGACGCTCGCCGACAAGCAGGGGGCCCTGCACCGCCACATCGGCAGATGTACGCATACACATACGACGAACGGTTGTGGCTTGAAAGTGCGAGCGTCCGTGCGACGGTCCCCTGCGTCATCTGAACTTAACAGAGGCTCAAAGCTAACGTGGCAACAAGCCAACAACCGCGGGAGAGCCATCCTTTGTTGGTTTCCTCCACGACGAACATCCAATTCTCGCAGGAATAATGGGCACCTAAAGCTGCGCCTGGAATTCGTTACCCTCCCTATCTATTTTCGCCGTCGACCGGCAGATGAAGATGCGGTCGGTTTGGTACGCCTGTGTAAGCTTGTCCCCCACGATATTCTTAGCTGTTCAACGGGCGCCGAAACAGCTCCACGAACCGCACCGGCTGAGCTCGCGATTGCTGACATGTTCCTCTCCAGACCTCTGCGGCGCTTGCCGCCGCGGTGATTGCATCTGCCCTTCACCAGCGCCCCAACTTCTACTCCGCCATGGTTCATTTGGCCCAGAGTAGCCTGTCTCTCATGGTCGGTAGCCCCCCCACCCACCTTCCAGCCCCGGGATCTGCCCGCATCGGCACGGCGCTTGTCGAGACTGTCCAGCTAACTCGATTTGCACACACTCACCATCTAGATCCTCGTTAATTTCATCTTCCTCATCTATGCCTCCTTCGTGTACGGCCTCCAACGCCTGTGCTTCGGCCAGCTCCGCCCCGTCGAGATCGAGCAGCTCTACGAGAAGGCCTGGTTTGCCGTCACCGAGACATGCCTGGCCATGACCATCTTCCGCGAGGAGATCGGCGCCTTCTTCCTCGTCATGTTCACGACCCTGGTCACGGGTAAGGTGTGGGGCTGGATCGGCGAGGGCCGCGTCGAGGTCCTCGAGCAGCAGCCGCCGGCGAACCCCCGCCTATTCCATACCCGCCTCAGCGCCTCTCTGCTCTTCAGCGTCCTGTACGACTGCTGGCTGCTCCGGTACGCGGTCAACACGGTCGTCCAGCAGGCCCGGCCGACGATGATGGTCATGTTCCTCTTCGAGTTCGCCGTCTTGGCCATCTCGTCGTCCCAGACGGCCGTTCGTTACATGATCTCGTTGGTCGAGGCGAGGGTGGTCAAGGTGCAGACTGCCCAGCGGCTGGAGGAGCGCCGCAGACAAGTCAGGCAGCAAAGGGAGGAGATCTTGATGCGGCGGGAGAGGGAGGGCGTTGTTGAAGGCGAGGGGGAAGCCCGCGAACCCCTGCCCAACGAAGACGATGTCGATGAGATGGATATTGAGGTTCCTGGATGGGAGGCGAAGGGCCAGTGGGTACTCACCCTCGACCTTGTTGCCGGTAAGCTTGATTGATTCCTCCTTCGTTTCCAGTGTTGGGACACTTGCACTAACTTGGGCAAAGACTTCCTTAAGCTCGCCATTTATTCGACCTTTTTCTGCGTCTTGTTCACATTCTACGGCCTCCCTATCCACATCATGCGAGACTTGTTCCTGACGACAAGGTCTTTTGTGAAGAGACTGGGCGCTCTCCTTCGCTATCGCCAAGCGGTCCGAGACATGAACAAGTACCCCGACGCCACGGCCGAAGAACTGGCCCGAGAGGACACCTGTATCATTTGCAGAGAAGAAATGCGCCCGTGGGATCCTGCCAATCCTGGCCAAGTAGAACGATCTCGTCCGAAGAAGCTCCCCTGCGGCCATATCCTGCATTTCGGCTGCCTGAAGAGCTGGCTGGAGAGGCAGCAGGTATGTCCCACGTGCCGGAGTTCAGTCGTAATGGACACTCCGGCACGGGCTCCAAACGGGGATGCTTTGGTTTTCAGGCTCGGCCTCAACTTTCCGAACGGCCAGAATCAGCAGCCGCCAGCAAACGGCGCCGCACCAGGTGGCGGTCAAGCAGCCCAAGGCGTCCAGAACGCCCAGGACCCCCAGCAGAATGGTGGCGGCAATGCTGGTGTGAGGATGTTCAACCTGGGGCCACTGAGACTAGGCTTCGCTCAGGGTGGCGTCCGGGACATGCAAGATATGGCTCAGCACCTCGGCGTGCCGGGCGACGTCGCAAATCCGCAGGCGGCCAACCAAGCGCAGCCTCCACAACCGAGAACGGGCGACGCCAACGCGGGCACCACTCTCGAGAGCCTCAACGCCCAGCTCATGGAAGTCGGCCAACGAGTGGTGGATGCCGGCCAGCGAGTGCAACAGGATTTACAAAACCTACACAGCGCGGAAGCCCAGTTGCAGACGTTGAATCTGCTGTTCCAGGAGGTATTGCGTCTGAGCCAGATGCAGCGATCGCATCAACTGCAACCGCCGCAGCAAAGCGCAACATCACCGGGACCAGCAACTGCAGGTGCCGCGGGGCAAGTGCCTCCCGCGTTGCCCCATCCTCAGCCTCAACCCCATTTCCAGCAACAATTGCCTCCGTTCGCGCCTCCATTCCCTCAGATACCCGGACAGCCTGGTCCATTCCCGCAAATGCAACCGTTCCGGTTTGTCCCGCCAACCGTCACTCGGTACAGCAGTGCAGGGCAGGCGGCGGACATCCCGGCGGGAAGTCCAGAGCTTCCAGAAGGGATGGTCCTCCCTCCTGGCTGGTCTCTCCTACCCCTCCAGCGGTTGGATGGGACAGCACCCATGCCGACCGGCCCCGCGACTCCAAGCCAACCTCAAGCTCCAACTCAAACCACGAATCCCCTCCCCGAGATCTTGCAGAACCTCGCGCAACAAATCCAGAACCCACGCGCAGGTGCCAATGGCATGACCTCTCCCGTCGCACAGGAGACGCGCGCCCAAGAAACGCACGGAGCGCCGGGCCCGAGCAGCAACGCCAGAGACCCGGAGGCGCCGTCGGCGCCACAACAGCAGACCTCGGCGGCGGGGCCATCGGCGTCCGACGCCCAGTCGGATCCGCCCCCCGTGACAGCACCGACCCCGGTGATGCCCAGCTGGGGCGGCTCGGCGCAGCTCTTCGGGAGTGGCCCCGGCCCCGGTGGCCCGCCGTTCGGCTACCAGCGCAACCAACAGCCCAGGTCCGCGCCGCTCACGCCGTCGAACGTGGAGGAGACGAGCGAGAGCGGCGGCGGTGGGGATGGGAAGCAGATCGCGCAGCCATCGTCCGCCGTCCAGGACGGTGGGGGAGAGGGCAGTAATGGCCTGGCGGAGGCGGATGGGGCGGCGGTCGGGAAGGGGAAGGCTAGAGCTGTGACTGTGGAGGAGGGGAGTGATAATGAGGGCCATGAGTGATTGGTCGAGGGAAGGGCAAGAGAAAAGGAGACGAGAGGAAAGGACAAAGTGGATGGGTGAGATTGAGATGAGATACCATAGCCCGGTGCACTCCCTCCATGGAGAGTCCAGGACGGGGCCAGGGTCTTGACATGTTTTGCATCATAAAAGGCGTTGGGCGGTGGCTGGGAGCTACACCTGTGATGATAGCTTCTTCGTTGGGTACATCCAGCACGCGGTCCTTTTTTCTCTCATTATGAAGTTCACATCGAACAGTGGATACAAGCTTCAAGTGATGTATGTGATCATGTTTGTCCATTAAGAGTCTAATACACATGCGCATCCAGCTCACGAAACCGTAGAAATAGATCATCAGCAAGGGGCCAAGCAATGCCTTGTGCGGCCGTGCCGTGCTTTCCCACCAGGAAATCATTTTAACTACCATCCAGTATGGATAGCCCGGTCGTTTTGGGTGGATGGATGATGCACCATGGAACACACGTTGGATGCGAGTACCAAACAAGCCCGACTCAAAAACGCCGTAGTTCGCCAGCCCGGAAAGCACGACAGGGAATAAAAGACTAGACCATCCGACCACTAAACACCAGAGCCGCGAAGAAACAAGCAGAACCGCGGGCCTTTCAATGAACGGCTAGATCGAGGGGGGAGAGCCTCGTTAGCGTCACCGGTCAACCCAGAAACTCTTTTTGCTGGTAGACTGCTGAGACGATGGCGTGGTCTCGCTCGTACGGCTCTGTGATTGCTGTTAGAATACGGTTCTTGTGGTCTGTAACATGAAAAGGACAAGATCTCTTACCTAGCGTAAGCTGTTCCTTCGGGTAGAAGTCCTCCTCCTTGAGCTTCTTGATCTCGCTGGCGAAGACGACCTCGGCCGGGGCTGTGCTGTCGATACAGTTGGCCTTGATGGAGATGAGCAGGCCGCCTCCCTGCTTCAGGTACATCTTGGCGTTTAGGGCGACGATACGGGCTTGATCTGGCTGAGCAACATCGGCGAAGATGACATCGACCATGGGCATGAGCATGCGGTACTTCATCGGGTGCCGGGCATCCTCGACGATGGGGATGACGTTGGTCCGCCGGGTGGCCATGTTGATGAGATCCCGGCCTGACCGGTGAGAGAACTCAACGGCGTAGACAGCGCCGGTGGGTCCAACGATATCAGCAACGTGGGAGACGGAGGTACCGGAGGCGGCACCGAGGTAGAGGACCTTGGAGCCCGGCTTCATGTAGATCGTGTCCAGACCGCCCAGGATACCGGCCGCAAGCTTGCTACGGAACGGATTCCAGATCCTGTACTCGGTCTTTGTCGTGACCGCCGTGCCATCCTCATTCCTGCCTTCGCTGTTCTCGATGGAAACCCGCTTCTCGCCGTAGACAGATTCGCCGGGAACAAGGTTTGCAGTCGCAAGGAGATCTTCCTTACCACCCCGGGCAACGAAGACACCGGCATGACGATGGGGCTCCTAGTGGGTGCTCATCAGTAACCCCCTCCTGGGAAATTTGGACGGGATGGCTCAGGATTACATACCACAATCATCTTCCTTCCTCCCTTAGCTCCTGCTCCTCCAGCGCCGCCACGGCCACCGCGACCGCCTCCGCGGCCGCCACGTCCACCACGGTCACCACCTCGAGGGCCGCCACGTCCTCTACCGCCAAAGCCTCCACGAGCTTACAGCGATTAGCATGGGTAGACTAGAGTGTAGGAAAGGCGAAGGTGGGGTGGAAGGTAAGGCGTGGAAGGTGAAGCAGAATGCCTGCGCAAGGAGGAAGCAGCCACTTGACTGCGCATGATTTGCCATTGACCGTGAGATGGAACCGATTCGACTTACCCCCTCCACGTGCGGCGCCAAAACCACCGCCGCCGAAACCACCACCGCCGCGCATGCCTCCTCCACGGCCTCCTCCACGGCCACCATCGCCGCCACGGAAGCTTCCTCGGGGAGCTCCACGGCCTCCACCACGACCTCCGCCACGATCAAATGCCATCTTATATGAGCTCGGGGTAACCAAATGGCAGGGCAGTGTACACTTTGCAAGAAGGGCTGTTGTCCTGCGTCAATGGTTGGGCAAAGCGTTTATCTGCCGTCGTTGAAGTGGCTCAAGTTTGGCAAAAAATTTGAAGCTTCTAAATTTTCTAGACTAGGCTGGGTACCTAGTACATGAGTGGGGCCCTCTCCTCCGGGTCTTATGTTTTACCGATATCCGGCATCCCCTCCATATCCAGCCAATCACAGCGTGAAGCACAAAAGAACTACAATTTCGCAGGCAAAGTTGAGTGACGGATGTAGAAGTTTAGAAATTCGTTTTCATATCGGTTTAAAAAAGCTAAATTCCAAGTTTCACGGTATTTAGACGTGGTTCTGCTGAGTTTACAGGGGGTTCAAAATCGCTAGGGTTGGTCAGCCCTAATCCAGGTTCCGAAAATTAAGCGAACCTAGTGGTTGTGCTTGGACGGGGCCAAAAAAGTTGAACACTTCCAATCCACTGCCATTGCTCCGAACCACCAAAATCATCGAGTCCGTCTTCACAACAATCAGTCAAGATGGTAAGTGCTCTTGAGTCAAATGGATTGATTTCTGTCCCTCAGAATGCACGACATTTTGCCTCCTAAAACCTCTGGTGAGGGGAGGTCGAAGTCGAGGCGTTGCTGCACCAAAGACGCATTCAAGGCTGGACTAGGAACTGACACTTCTGCCCTCCGTCCAGGTCCGATACGCTGCGACTGAGATTGCACCCTCAAAGTCGGCCCGCGCCCGCGGTGCCTACCTCCGCGTTTCCTTCAAGAACACCCGGGAGACTGCTCAGGCGATCAACGGCTGGAAGCTCCAGCGTGCCCAGAAGTTCCTCGAGAACGTGACCGAGAAGAAGGAGGCTGTCCCCATGCGGCGATACAATGGCAGCATTGGACGGGCCGCCCAAGGTACGATTTCTACGATTTGAAAAACTGGGGAGGAGGTTTCGCCAGTCATTGGTAGTGGCAGTCGGGATTTTGGCAACGGGACACACACAAGAGCTGGGCACCATGAATCATTGAGGGGGGAAAAGGGTCGCTTCTTGAAATCATCAGTGTGCTGACCTGGATATTCGGATAACAGGCAAGCAGTGGGGCGTTTCCCGTGCCCGGTGGCCCGTCAAGTCGGCCGAGTTCCTCCTTGGCCTCCTCAAGAACGCCGAGTCCAACGCTGATGCCAAGGGTCTCGACACTGGCAACCTGGTCGTCAAGCACATCCAGGTCAACCAGGCTCCCAAGCAGCGCCGCCGGACGTACCGTGCTCACGGTCGGGTAAGTTTGAACCAACCCCTCGACCCGATATGGCGCATTTAGCGTCATGGTTCGGGAAAGGGGACACGGAGCTAACGTGCTGCACACAGATCAACCCCTACATGTCCAACCCGTGCCACATCGAGCTTATCCTGACCGAGGGCGAGGAGGTCGTTCAGAAGGCGGAGGCTGTTGCCGGGCGCGAGGCTCACCTCAGCTCCAGACAGCGCGGTGTGCGCGTGCGACGGGCTATTACTTCCTCGTAAATTGATGATGGCTGGGACCGGGAGGATTCGTTGACGGCTTGGCTTTCTTACGGAAACGGTGTACGTGAGCATGGCATTTCAGGGTTTTGGCTTGCGATTTCGAGAAAAAGGAATCGGGTCATGCATGCATTCACTCAATAGAGCATTGAGAAACGAGCGTGCCCGGCTCAAGCTGTCTTTGTCGCGGCTGTCGTGGTGCTCAGTTCCCGATGAGGGCCTCGATAAAAGACAATGATCTCTGCAAGATAACTCGGCTTGTGTGATTGCCAGCCACAGTGTCCAAATCTTGCCAGGTCTGGCGAGTTTGCTATGTTCAGCTGCCTCTGTCCTTTGCCTGCCTGAGACTGACAGTACACCCCTTCGTCGTCGCAAAGACTCCTAGCAGCCTGCCATTGCCCTACCTCTCAACCCGTTGCTCTATATAGTAGAATGAGACCGCATATATCACCATCAATTGTTTGGTGACTCTACACCGTCCTCGCCAAAGGGCAAATGTAACCATTAAACCGAATTGGGCAGACATTGGTGCCAGTTCCATTCAGTAAGTCTTTTATATGGCCACAATTCGGAAGCCATGTTCTTTTCAGTCCAAACGAAGGTACTGTATCGTCCGTGCGTTAGATCAGTCAGCATGTGGCTGGAGAAACCTTTTTTTTTCTTGCATACCCCCCACAAGTGCTCGCCTCCAAACACTAACTTAATCACCAGCTTCTCGGGCAGGAAAATTTTTGGCGCCTTCTTCAAGCTTGGGATTGATTGTCCAAGTGGAACGCGTCTCTTGCAATATTCGGTTGCAAGCTTTGGCCCTTTCCACAATTGTGCACTCTCATATTGCCCTTCTCCCTACAGTTCCAAATACGCGTCTTCGAAGATGACGGAAGTCAAGGGGACCTCCAAGCAGGCGGATGAGTTTTCCATCAAGCCGCAAGCTGTTACTCCAGCCCTCGACACCAGCAATTGGCCCTTGCTGCTCAAGAACTATGACAAGCGTACGATGGCTTCCTCTGATTACTGTTCCATGATCAAGCAGGACCGTCTCCGCTGACCTCGTTTCTAGTCCTTGTCCGAACGGGCCACTTCACTCCCATCCCGAACGGCTCCTCTCCGTTGAAGCGAGACATCAAGTCCTACGTCTCAAGCGGCGTCATCAACTTGGACAAGCCGTCCAACCCATCCAGTCATGAAGTTGTCGCTTGGGTTAAGCGTATGCTCCGGTATGAACATCACTGCTCTTTGGCGGACGCGGAATCATGTGCTGATACCTTTTTCTTGCAGTGTGGAAAAGACGGGCCACAGCGGTACCCTCGATCCCAAGGTCACGGGCTGTCTCATCGTCTGCATTGACCGGGCGACTCGTCTTGTCAAGTCGCAGCAGGGAGCCGGCAAGGAATACGTTGCCGTCATTCGGTTCCATGATACCATACCCGGTGGCGAGCCTGCCTTTGCGCAGGCCTTGGAGACATTGACGGGCGCGTTGTTCCAGAGGCCGCCTTTGATCTCGGCCGTCAAGAGGCAACTCCGTATCAGAACCATCCACGAGAGCAAGTTGATCTCCTTTGACAACGACCGCCACCTCGGCGTTTTCTGGGTCAGCTGTGAGGCGGGTACATATATCCGTACCCTCTGTGTCCATCTGGGTCTCCTCCTGGGGGTTGGAGCTCACATGCAGGAGCTTCGCCGTGTCCGAAGTGGCGCTATGGACGAAACTAAGGACATGGTCACGTTGCACGACGTTCTGGATGCCCAGTGGTTGTACGACAACCAGAACGACGAGACTTACCTGAGAAAGGTCATCGCGCCGCTGGAGTCTCTGTTGACTACATACAAGCGTCTTGTGGTTAAGGACAGTGCAGTCAACGCTGTCTGCTATGGCGCGAAGCTCATGCTTCCAGGCCTGCTACGATATGGTATGTTAATGGACCCTTCCATAACCCCCTTTTCCCTTAGCTCGATCGTATACTAACAGCCCGGGCTCAGAGTCTGGCATTGAACATCATGAAGAGGTCATTCTCATGACCACCAAAGGAGAGGCCATTGCTCTTGGAATTGCCCAAATGTCGACTGTGGAGATGTCCTCTTGTGATCATGGAGTCGTCGCCAAGGTGAAGCGGTGCATCATGGAGAGAGACCTCTACCCTAGAAGATGGGGCCTTGGTCCTGTTGCGCTTGAGAAGAAGAAGCTCAAGGCGGGCGGGAAGCTGGACAAGTTTGGCCGAGTGAACGAGGCAACACCCGCGAAGTGGACAGAAGGGTATACCGACTACAACCCGCAGACAGCGACCGCGGCGGCAGAGTCGGCGCCTGCTCCGGCTGCCGAGTCAACACCCCAGAACGCCCCGGATGAGATGGCCGTTGATGATGCCGAGGACGACGACAAGAAGAAGCGGAAGAAGCATGAGGGAGAGACTCCGGAGGAGAAGGCCGAGAGGAAACGGAGGAAGAAGGAGAAGAAGGCCAAGAAGGCCTCGGGCGATAAGTCAGGAAAGGGAGAGGACGAGGACAGCGACTAATGGCCGAAATTCTCTTCCCTTCGTATACTTCAAAACCACGGTGGCGTTTTGCTGTACCTATGTCATACATTGTCGGGAAAGGGTGGCGTTCAGGGACTCTTAAGATCATGTTCATTGCTATCTCGTTGGAGTAGTGCAGAGGTCCAAGGATGGGAATACCGTTCAAAGCTTCGCATCATTCCGAGGCTTTTGCATGATACCTTCTTTATTCCTATTTAGTATTTGAATCTGTTGCTTTTGTGTATCTTCGGCCACGGGAAAAGTGAGACCCCATTGCCCTCCTGAAGTATCCGCAACGGCTCTCCTGGGCTTCATAAGATCAATTACCACCACTTGAATTACCCTACTGCACAAGCATGCCCAGGTGCATAACAACAACACCCTTTTTCCCACTCAGCGGCAATGGTCAGCTTGCATGGGCATGTTGATCCAAGGCAAACACACCATGCAAACACACAAACCTGAGAATGCTTCTTGACGGGTGTAATCATTGACCTAGTGTGCCTACCTGGTGAATATGGTTGGGCTGGGGTACAAATAAACTAGGATGCCTGAGCACTCAACTGGACTGTTTCCATCTTACTCACTTCTACTGACAGTGAACCCAGCTCTCTCCCCTGGTTCGGGGGATTCAAGGGGTGCCCGTTTACCCCGTCGTCACACCACTTAGGGAGCTGGTCCTAGGTAGAATAACGATTTGGCCCTCTGAGAGCCAGAGCAAATCCTGAACTGGAGTTTCCCCAGCGGTTGATTCCTTGCAGCTTAGGCCGGCCCCAGAGAAGGAAACTTCGTTACCCTGTCGGAGGCTTGTCTTTTGCTAGCAGGAGGGGACGTAGCAGGACGTGTGTTCTTAGGAACAACAAAAATAGGCAGGATTATAAAGAGATATAGATTAATCCTTCCGGAGTGCCGCAAGCTAGTACAGTGTAGTTGGTGACGGTCTGGCCCAACCACAAGAATAGTAGCTGGCACTTGTGGAGATGCCTGAGGAATAGATATCCTCCTCATCGACCATAACTCCCTCCCTCAAAATGCAAGGACAAAGCAGATGGATATCAGGTGAACGCACAAAACTCCAGATCCCTACGAGATAAACCAACCCCTTCCAACCACAACAATTTTCCAAAGCTCGGAAATGGAAAGCCAATGTGAAAAGTGAGAATAAGAGCTTGGAAAAAATACATAAATACGAAAAGAACCATCAGTTGCACACCTTCCTACACACCTTCCTACCCACCCACCTACCCCCAGCTCACCGCCCCGTCGGCGGCGGCGGGAACGTAACCCCAACCCTCATCGTCTCGACGGGACTCCCCGACTCCCTCCGGCCACCACCGCGCCTCCCCGCCGAGAACATGGTCGCCATCCGCGGGCTCTTCGGCGGAGGGGCGGGCGGAGCGGCCGAGGGGGACGGCCAGGCCTGACCGGGCCCGGCCCCGGCGAAGTCGGCGGGAGAGTAGGGTGCGTGGTGCCTGGGCAGCAGCTGGGTGGTGGAGCGGGTGGAGGTTGTCGAGGTCGGGGTGGTGTAGGAGTCGGAGGGCGAGCCGCGGAGGACGACGGCGCTCGAGGGCGAGTGGTAGGTGACGGACGGGGGCGAGGGGAGGACGCTGGTGTTGAGGCTGTGCAGGGGAACTACCACGTGGGGGTGCTGGTTTTGGCGGCGGTGGGGGGAGGAGGTTATGCCGGCTTTTGCCTGGTGGGACACGGGCCGGCCCTTCTCCCCCGTGCCTTGCTCGGAGACACCGAAGGGGTTCTGGAAGGGTGAGATGGGGCTGTGCTCGTGCCAGAGGGAGCCTTTAGGTTCGGGCGAGTATGACATCTCGTCGACTGAACGTTCGCCCCCGTTTTGGAATAACTCTGGAGACTTTAGGCCCGTGTGCGCCTGGCACTGGAAAGACAAAGGAGATTGAGGCATCCAGGAGCCGAACTTCTCCGCAGTGGCTCTTGTGAGCCTGTTCTTCCGCTTACGGCGACAGATGTAGACGCAGGCCGCCACCACGGCAAGGAACACAAGGGTGCCGATCACTATGACTGCGACCATGGTGGATGTTGGACCTCGGGTTTCACTCTTTGGCGGGTTAGCCAGCACCGAAGGATCAACGATGCCGACCACTTTCGGTGAGAAAAGAGTGCTATTCAGGCCAACAATCATGCCTGGCGCTGGCTGCTGAAGACACCCGGCCTCTAGGGCGACAAGATCTGGAATGCACGGATAAGTATGGGCACCAGAACATATAGACAGAGAGCGTGAACTTACGATTGGCGATGTATTGGGTAGTACCGCTGGCGCTGATACATGCTAGGCAGCTAGCATAACCTGAACCCGTCATTGCATCACGGTCGACGGAGCAATATCCGTACTGCGACGACGAGTGCGGATCCAGAACGCCTGTTTCAAGGGAGTTCTCCAGCAACCCGCAAGCAGGAGATGTGGTGCATGGTGATGAGCCAACATCCGTGGCATTTGGAAATCCAAACACGCAGTATGACACCGCGTACCTCGAGTTATCTGTGAGAGCCATGAGCAAAAGGACCGGGAGGACACTGGCCACATTCGGCGTGACCTACACAAAAACCACATCTGGTCATTCTCGTTCCCTTGGACAAACGTGCTGTTTTGCAGACAGCTCATGCAGTTCATCCACTTGATTCCTGCCTTTGAGCTTCCAAAGATGGAATCATCGCAAGTGATATCGGAATTCTTCGTGTTTGATGAACGGGGATCCGAGGCATCCAGAGTATCCGAGTCCTGGCAGACAGCGGCACAAGGTGAGTTCGGGGTCACTTGTAATGCCTGGATATAGAGCGGGGCTAAGAGGAAAGAGAGGAGGAGCGAGTGTAATGCCATCGTGACCGTCCCAATGGATAGGATATTCAATATAAAGCAATTAAGAGTCCAGGCCCAGCCTTGAACTTGTGAAGAATGGAAGAAGCTCTCAACGCTTCCTTGTAAAGTCGAGGAGCCACAATGCCTCGGGTGCGAAATGGTTATTATAGAAAGGAATGTCTGTATAACACAAAAAAGAATGCAGAATCAATATGAACCGAAGATATAGAAACGCAGGAGAAGCTGAATATGAACCTCGGGGAGAGGGGCAAACAGAACAATGTTTCAACCATATATATGTTCGCTGCAGGGGACGAGGGACCAACAACATCTTGCCGCCCAGAGCATATTAACCTGCAGGATATTCCCCGATGCAGGTGCTGCTCAGGTGCCGCTCAATAGAACAGAACATTATTCTCGGGTGAAAGCCAGGGGGTCATAGCAGAACAGGCAAGTGGATCTGACCAACAGCCAGTCAGGAAAAGAGCTGGGGCGCTGTGCGGCCGCATCTGGAGTGTGACGGGTTAACGAGCTTGGCACCGTGGGAATCCCCTGTCAGGCTTGCATGCCAGGTCCGAACACAATGATCATGATCGACTGATCGGTGCAAAGGCCAATCGTTCCCATCACCACAAGAGCCTATTCCAAGGGCGAATCACAGTGAGGAGTCAGCCTATCCGCACAAGACCAGAGCGGAGCATATGTAGTGTACGCAAAAGCCAAATCGAGGCGTACCTGACGCCTTGCGCAGCAGCAGTCATGCGAGTTTGGTCACGGCGGTTCGAGTGAAGATTGTTGGAAGTGTGATCAAGGATAGGGCGGGCGCGTAGAGGGTGACGAGATCCATGCTGGGCTGTCAGGTAGGCCTGTAGTGGGGCCTCATCCAGGGGTGGAAAGCTTAAACGAACCATCTTATCGGGTGACTGGCGCTAAGATCGACGGCGATCCGCCTATCAACAACTTGCAACCCGAAACATTTCGATGTCGACATTCGGTTATTCCTCCAACCCTGTATGTTTCATCGGCCCCAAGAATGGCCTGAAGAAAGTGTTCCGAGTACGACCCTGTACGAACATACTCATTCTACGAGCTTCGAGATTATACGAGCCAGGATGCCTTCACTTGCACTTGCATCCCACCTTCGGCGGGCGTCAATTCCCTCGTCACTACTAGGAACGGCCTCAACATTCTCACCGTTTTCAGGCGAGTGACAGGGAGATTAACTATAAGACAGTATTGCCCAACAACAGAATCTTGGGTATTCTCGGTCCACTAGCTTGTTCCCTCCTACAGAATAGCGTTCTCAATGGATAATTGAAATACAGCCTTGGACCACTACTTCTCCCCCTTTCTTATACCCCCCAAGCCAGTCGGAAGCCAAATCGCTTTCCAGAAATAAGGCACAATTTATGTGGAAGGGTATTATGCGATCAAAGACCCAACGCCTGACAAGACCGTCCCCTTAACCTGTGCATCATCTCCTCGCGCACCTATTTACAACCCCTAAAAGTTTCCGGAACGCCACGCCTGATGCTACATTCGGTTTCGTTGTGGGTACGGGCCGTCCCAGCAGTTTATGCTCGCGACAATCCGTCGACGACAAAGTGAATCCATGCATACTCCCTCCCCATTCTCGGCACATTGCTCGCCTTGCCCGCGATTGCCATGGGGGCTCCCCTTGAATGCATTCCTGTTCTCCAATTGCTCTCATGTATTGATACCCGTGGCTATCCTCCTGAGAGCGCGTGCTCAGTCCCACATCGACTGTCGCTTCTCCATGAGTTCAATCTGCTGGCGGAACCACGGCCGATCCTCGTCCATCTTATCCATGGTATCCTTCAGTTCCTGCAGCATCTGCTGCGTGCTCTGCACCATCCTCTGGGTATCGTCTCCCCCCTCGTCCATAGCCAGTTTCTTCGCGCTCGGGGGTGATGACCCATCTGCCAGACTACCATTGATCGGAGGATTGTAATCGTCATCGACGGGCCGCTTCCGCTTGGCCGCAGGAGTGACTGTGCCATTCACGATGGCGCCACTTGTAGTATGTGCACGCGGCTTCGATAACCCAAACCGGGCGGCTAGACGCTCGAGTCTCAACCGCGTGGCATCAGCTTCCGGGCTGTTGTTGCGTTCCTCATCAGACACGGCCTCATCCATGACCTCCTTGCCCGGGCCGAGCCCGCAGTCGCCAATACCCTTGAAACGCTTGCCTTCCTGCATCGGCAGGGCGATCGACTCCGGAAGCCACTGTCCATCCGGCATCTGGACGAGACCGCGGGCGCGGAGCTCCCAGTGTTTCGATTTGAAGCCATTGGCTTTCCGCTTGGACGATGGCTCGTCTTCCGAGGATTCGTCGGCGTAGCGCTTCCTCGAGAAATTGGTGATCTTGGCTGCTGGGAGGGACCGGCTGAAATCGGAGGCTGCATTGGTGGAGCTGCTGACCGAATTGCTCCGTCTCTCGGATCTCCGCATGCGGGACTCGGCGCCGTACTTTTCGCGCAGAGACCTTGTCTTCCATCCTTCCCGCTTGACGGGGGCCGATGCGGTCTCCTGGCTTGAAGCGATCGATGATCGCCTCGAAGGCTGCTGCTGCTTCTTGGCATCGGCGAGAGACACCTCCTTGATGACACGACGGACCGTCTCTCGTTCGTCCTTCAGCCCCGCGAAGATGCCGCTGGCAAGCAGTTGCTCCTCGGTGCTCAGCCGAGACGCCTTGCCCACGTCCCAGTTGAGCAACCTCGCAATATCTTCTTCGGCTCTGGCCTTCCTTCGCGCATCCTCTTGAGCTTTGAGATCGAGATCTTTTCGGGCCTTCTCGGCAGCCCGTTCTTTCTCCCGGTAGGCCTTCATCTTGGCCCTGCCCTCTCTTAGGATGCGGCGGTGCGCCAGTGTTCTCGCGTTCTTCTGCCACCGATAGAAATATTTGACGCGGAGGTTGTAGATCTGATGTTTCCTGGCGGCTTCCCAGGACTTGTCGTCTTCCTCCTTCCGCTTGCGCTCCGCTTCTTCTTCCTGCCATTTCACAAATGTTTCCTGGAGTAGATCCATGACGGTGGTCTCGGTGAATTGTTCCATGAGGCCACCATCGCCCGAAACATACCACTTGGTCAGGCCAGCCATTGGATCACTCGGCGTGGTCTGTGGCCGTGCTGGCGCCAATGCAGTGGAGGACAGTGAGGCCTGCGAGGGCTTGGCAACGCCCGCGGGCACGACAGGACTAGGTTGTTGTGTTTGAGGAGGGAAGTTAGGCGGCTGTGAGCTCTTCGCCCCTGCAGCTGCGGTTGTTTGGCTGATAGGAGGCTGGCTTAAGACAGAGCCACCAAGTGGGAGGGGTGGTTGTATCTCGTTGGTTGCGCTATCATTAATGCCGGTTGTACTGCTGGAACTTGGGCCGGTTAATCCTGCCTGGGTGCCTTGAGCAGCTGTTGCTTCCTTGGAAGTCGCGGTGGGTGGAAAGAAGCTGGTCGCAGGTGCATCTGATTTATTGGAAACAGATGGAAGTACAGACGCCTGTGGAGTCGGGAATTTGACGCCTTGAAGAGCACCTGGAGCCTGGCTCGTCTGGTCATGCTGTCCTGTTGGGGGTGGCGGCGAGAATGTAAGACTCGGCACTTTATCTTTCGTACTGGTGGAAGGAAGGCCTGGGAAGAAGGATGAAGCTGGGCCAGTCTTGGCTGGGACCGGCAAGACCGATGAAGCCGCCTGAGATTGCGAGTTCTCAGACGGTTTGTTGAGAAACGAGAACCCGCCTGGCGTAGCCTGCTTCGGCGGAAAGGCAGACTGGGTTGAATTTGGGGGAGATGAGGTCGCAGCCGCTGGTGCCTGCATAGGTTGGTTTTGAGGCGCGAAGGGGCTAGGCTGTTGGAAAGATGAGGGCGGGCCTGCAGATGTTGTGGTAGTCGCCTGGCTTGGTGCCGGTCCCGAGGTCGAGGTGGGTACAGGGAAAAAGGCCGAGGCAGCCTGCTGAGGACCGGAAGAAGGTTTCGGGGGCCCAGAGAAGGCACCGGAAAAAGCACCGTTAGAAGAGGGGAAGCCGTTTGTCGTGATACTGGTGGCAGCAGACGAAGGTGCAGCGGCGGATTGCGGGGCAGATATCGCTGAACCCTGCTTTTGAACTTCGATATTCTTGCCGGGTAGATCAGTAGTCTGAGAGACAAAGAGACTGTCGGGGCTTTCCGGATCCTCTTTCGCAGGTTCGGGCTTCCCTTCTTCGTGGATAGTGTTGTGAATGATGTAGGATAAGGATTGCTTGTTGCGTTTCCGTTCAACAAGTTGCCCCGAGTATGACTGTGGGACTCGGGGGGATGGGACATGCTTGCGCTTCGACGTCAGCTCCAGATATGGCTGGTCAGCATTATCGGACGAGAACTGGAAGCCGTGCCGTTCGGCGAAGTGAACGGCTTCTTCGTCGGTATCGAATCGGAGCATGCGATTCAGCACAGAGGCTGTAATGTCCCTCGGCGAATCTCTCCGCCGAGAATATGCCTTGACCAGACTCTTCAGGATGCATTGCCGGACGTGGGTGAAGTGGATCTCGGCGAAGCAGGCCATGGTATACGACACCTGGGGGCTCTCCACAATGGAGAAGAAGTTGGTGAAGGAACTGTCGGAGAGAGTCGAGCCTAGCATTGGTCGAAGAGGGCCTCGCTGTTCTTCGACGCTCTGCATGGCATGGATGAGTGAGAAGACGAGCTGGATATCATCCGAGTTGTCCCAGTGCTCCGTTCCCCATTCAAGACTCCTTTGCACTATAAAGGGGTCGTGGGTATTAAGTAGGAGATGGTAAGCTCTGAACTCGGGTTCGTTCTCGCACTTGACCCCCCTGTCACGGCAGTCGTCATAGGCCTCGATGAGTGACAGAAGCGAGCGGCCTAGCTGTTCGATTTCTTGCTTCTGCTCGAAGTCCTCCGCCGCGAATCCCTTTCGGGAGAGCAGGTGAAGGGCGGTGGCGTGGAATCTCGTTATGGTCTCGAAGCAGTAGACCAAGACTTTCATCTCCTCGGGCGATTTGGTGGAATGGAAGGTGAAGTCCTTGCGGACCGCCCGAGTGCGGTCCCAGAGATAGTTGTGCAAAGCCGGAAGATCCGCGTCGCTCTTGAGCAGGTCGCTGAGCAGGTAGTCTGTTGTTCGCCTCAAGGCATCGACCGAACGAACATCCATAGGTAAGGGGGCATCTTGTCCGGCGGCTGATCTCCCAAACTTCTTCACCATCCGGGCCGGTGCGGGCCACATGGTCAGTCCGTCCGGCGCTGGCTCCTTCTCTTCATGCTTGACGTCATATTCGCATATGCGGGTGACCTGTTCATACTCGGGACACATGTCCTCGCATACGCCCTTGAACGGAAGGGCATCTTCGAGCCTCCTCCGTTTGTCCGGATCGTCGATCAGCTCGGCTTTCCTCAGCGACGCGTAGACCTTGGTACGGTATTTCTTGAATGTTTCTTTCATCTTATCCATAGCCCCCCGTTTGTTTGGGTTGCCGGGTTCCGATGGCCATTGCGGAGAGGTAAGGCCGTCTTTTCGCAGCTGGTTGTGCAGCTTTCCGACGAACCCAGCCGCGAAGGGGCTCAGCTTCTTGGTCACCTCTGTCGGCTGAGGAGTGAGGCCCTCCCTGAGCTTCCCCGGCTTCGGCTGCGACAAATCTGACCGCTCATCGTTCCTCTTTCGGTCTGCGCTAGGCATGGTCGTGGGATGAACTGCGCGGCCATTGACTGGAGCTGTTGGCTTCTGGCCTCCCCCAAAAGGTGAGGCTTGCGCTTGTACCTCCGCTTGCTTCGGAGGCCCAGTAAATGGGTTTGCTGGATCAGGTGACTTCCGGCCAAATACGCTCGACGGTATCATCGTGGTTGAATTTGCAGATGGCGCGCCTCGGGGCCCGAAGGGATTCGCGACTGGGTTGGGAGCATTTATCTTTTGCGGTGGTTGTGAGGGAGCGCCGAAGGTAGTTGCTGGGCCGGAAGGTTTCGCGCCAAAGGGTGAAGGTTGGCGGTGCGTTCCATTCGGAGGTTTGGAAGGCTGCGAAGGTTGTCCAAAGGCTGGAGACGGCCCTTGAGTCGGGCCGAAGGGGTTGACAGCGAGCGGTGATGACTGACGGGTTGATGTTTGAGAGGTCGGCGCAGAAAGAGATGGTGCTCCGAAGGCAGAAGGCTGCGCAGAAGGTTGACCGAAGACTGACGGAGCAAAAGGATTAGTTGCGGGCTGCACTGACGGCGCCCCAAAGGGGTTATTAGCAGGCGCCATCACGATCATCGAGTTCAAGCATCGGGGGTTGGGCTCGTGAGTTGACGCGAAAGACGGAGACGGAGACGAAGACGAAGATGAAGTTGAGTTGAGTTTGAGGCGAAGCGGATTGGACGAAGTGCGCGCACCACTCCCAACTCCAGGAGCAAAGCTGGATCTTGGATCGTGGGCACGTAATTAAATTCGTCAAAGCTTCAGAAACGTGGTATGAAGCTCTTGGTCTCGCGTTGTCTCGTGGCTTGGCTAGTCAATTGGTGTTGCGAGACGGCGTTCCACTATTTTGGAGATGATCGCAGGCGGAATTTCTGCCGGCGCTCGCCGCTCTTGTGCTAGGCGGTCAGACCGAACCCTGCGAAGACGGGATTTAAATGCGGGGGTCCGCTCGGTTACGATGGAAGCTCTCTTCGTGCTGATATTTCAGTGCGAGCTGTGTTAAAGACTCATCGAAAAGTTGAAGTCACGGTAAATATATACGTTTTTCGACGACAAAGAAAAGCGAACCCGGGAGTTGACACACATTTGAGATGCACGTGAGGAGAGAGCACAATACACACAACAGAGGCGAGAATTTACAAATCACAGGCGTTATATTGTACTATTTATTCATTTCTTTCTAAATCGACCTTGCAGCCAGCAACGGTACATCTTGAGGCGCCGTGCTCGGTTGATCAAGAGTCTACGATCAACGCCAAGGTCTTCTACAACGAAGCTGGGGGTATCTTCTTCATTGCTCTCTTTAGAGCCTTCAATGTTGTTTCCGCTCCAGATGGCCGCCAACTCGTCCTTGTCGAAGAAGTACACACGAGTGCCATCTCCTCGAAGGTAGAAATTTTCGTCGAGATACCGCTGTTTCCTGAACCGGACTTGGGCTAGGTCTCCTCTCCCATAGTCGCGGAAGCAGACCTCGCCTCCGGGCTTGAGGAGCCGGTGGACATTATTCACCGCCTTCTTCCACTCAGCAGGTGACAGCGCGGAGAAGATAAACACCATGATCGCAACATCCACAGAGCCCTCTTCGAGGCCCGGCGGTAAGGAGTCGCCAGCGACATCCCACACGTCGGCTTGCATGAAGTTGGTGTCATAGTCAGCATGAGACCGCATGACCTCCACTGCCTGCTTGGAGTAATCCAAAGCGTGGAGCTTCAGCGCCGGATTCTCGTTGTTGGCCAGGATCGGGAACGCCGTATTGCCAGCACCCGCTCCGATTTCTAGAAGGGTGATAGCACCGGCGTCCTCTCTTGTGATTTTGTGCAAGACTGGAAACTCTTGCTGAAGCCACTTGCGATTCTTGAAGAAGTTTGCTGTGTTGTTTTTGTAGAACGCGTCCCACGATTTTGCAGGATCCGAATTGAATCTTTCTATCAGCGCGTTAGCCTGCTGCAAATGGATATTGCGAGTTGGAAGATGAAGAACAGGAGAAAGTGGCGCATCAGATGGGAGCGAAAGACGATGATGGTATACAAGTTGTCTTCAAAGTAAATTCAGATGAACTATGCTTATGTAAATCATCACAGACGCCGGGGTGTCGCAACGAAACCCGAAAGAAGATGTGAGGAAATGTCGCAACTTACGCTTGTCAAAGTCGGACACGGGAGACTGACGTTGCATGGCAAACTGCTGCTCAGCGTACTCCTTGTAGGCATCGTCAGTCTCCACATGATCCCAGGCGTTGAACTCGAAGACGTCGTCCTCCTGGTTCAGGAAGCGGGAACCGAATTGAAACGGGTCGCTCCTCTTCTGATTGTGATGAGGGTCATGGGATCGATGCGGTGCCATCTTCTGGTCCTTTTCTTCCTGTATGTCAAGGGACGAGATTTCCGCGGCCAGCTTCTCCGACTCGACGGGAGCCGGAGCCGCGATTAGAGCGGCTTCAGCCCTGGAAGATGCCATTGCAGTCAACGAGTGTATGGATGGGATCAGCACCTCCACCAGGTGCTTATTGAATTGAAGTTGAGGACATGAGACTCCAAGGCAGCATGGCTTGGAATGCTGCTGGATCACAACGCCCAGAGGTAGTTGTAGATCTTGGAGGATGAGAATTATTAGGAACGAAACTTTGAAGACGCCGAGAATTTTTCTCTTTTTCTACCAGTTCGCTAGTGCCATGGGTGGGTCCCATCGGTCGGTGCCTTGCAGGGCTAGGTTAAAGGTGGATCCAGAATTTCGGGTTCAAGCGGATCGATGACTTGTTTTGTCGATGCCTTTCGACTTTCGACTTCGAGCACGCGCAAAATGTCCCATTCTCGGGAGACTGTTCGGGCCACCTAAGATGCTCTACACATCACGAAACCAGTCTACCCCCACCCGCCTCTTCCCAACATCACCCCTCCCGCAATAACACCCACGATGCCTCCCCGAGGCCCTCTCCCCCCACACCTCCTGCGCCGGCCCTCGCCCCCCCTCGGGCCCCTCCACCGCGCCTTCTCCCTCCCGACCTTCAGCATCCCAGGCCTCCCCGCGGCAACCACCCAAACCATCCAAGCCCGGCGGACGCTCCCCTACCCGCCCCCTCAAGTCTACGCCCTGATCGCCGATGTCGACTCCTACGCAACCTTCCTCCCCTTCTGCACCTCCAGCCGCGTCACCCGCCTCTCCCCGCCGGACCCATCCTCGGGCCGCCGCTGGCCCACCCAGGCCGACCTGACCGTCGGCTGGGGCCCCGTGTCCGAGTCCTACACCAGCCGCCTCTACTGCGTGCCGGGCGAGGTCGTCGAGGCCGTCAGCGGCGCCGCCGACACGACCATCCCCGAGGCGACGCTGCGCAGGCACGGGCTGGGGCCGTGGGGCGCCCACGCCGCGGCCGTCGGGGCCGCGGGGGGCCGGCAGCAGGCCACAGCCGGGGTGTTCGACAGCCTGCTGACGAGGTGGGCTGTGCACCCTGTTGCGGCCCGGGGCGGCGGGGTGGGGAGGGCGGGCGAGGCCACAGAGGTGACTCTCAGTATACGATACCGGTTTGCGAACCCTGCGTACGGGCTGGCAGTTGGGAGAGTCGCGGATGATATGGTGGGCATGATGATCGAGGCTTTTGAAAAGAGGGCGAAGCAGATGTACGATGGGCAAGAGGCGGGCAGGGCGTCATAGGCCGGCGCCGAGTGGCTGGACGGCGGTCCATCGGCGGCTCGACTGTTTGCGAGCTAGTCCTATCGAGATGGGATCCCGTACTCCAACCAACTCGGAGTCTGAATCAAGTTCGAGATAGGACAGCCCCTCGCGTGTAACAGGATCGATCATATGGGAACGAGGAATGCATATGCATATAGACAACCCGGATAGATCCAAAATCTTGTTATGTTACGTAGAATAAATACCCATCTAGACCGATAAATAACAACCCATGCTCAGCGGGCAAATTCGTCTCTGGTTACGCCGCACCAAAATATAAATCCCAGAGCCTCCGTCCAAGTAACTGGCTATGGCCAGTCCACACCGATCACGAAGAGCCTCTTGTATCCTGATACTCCGTCATCGATGCATTGGAGCACATGCTCGTCCTTCGTAACATACACGCATGAGCGCAGTGGAAAGCCAGAAAAGCCACAAATAAACAAATAAAGTCAGAAAGAGCCAAAAAAACGGGGAGAGAAGAGTAGCACACAACTAGGCGACAAGGTATCAAAGACGTGAATAAATAAGACTGGTATCATTGGCCAACATGCTTTGACGTAAGACAGATAAGGGGGGATGGGGTTGGAGCAGACCAGAATCTCGAATCATCACCGCCCCGAGATCCACTCAATTAAACCATCCCATCTGGAATGGCATATGTATTACGTCGCACCCAGCTCTAAGCAAGCTTGGGATATAGACACCAGATCGATCGGAGGAGGACTCATTTTTTCCTGACAGTAACGTTAGCCATCGACCACGAGATATTTCGTGGAGTGCGGACTTGACAGTGTGGAATATGGTTTGGGACAAGAATTCAGGGGAAAATAGGGAAAGTGGGCGCAACATACTTCTTGCCGTTCTTCACCGGCTTCTTGCTGCCGGCCATCCACCCGAGAACGGTGCTGCCGGACTTTCCGGCCTTCTTGACGCGTGGCGGAGCTGCATCCACAACGACAGCGGCGGGGCTCCCTCTCCGCGGATCAGGACCGGGAGGACCCATCCCCCGCATGCCAGCCCAATTAGGAGGCGGCGGCGGCGGTACTGCACCTCCCATGCCCCCCGGCCTCACTGTGCCGGGCCGCATGCCAGCCATGTGTGCCATTCCGGCGGCGGCGGCGGCCCTGTGGTGCGGATGGCGGGGATCGTTCCGAGGGTCCCCCGGGGGGAAGGGCATTCCGGGCCGGCCCGCCATGTGTCCGCGCAAGGGGACCTTGTCCATGGGCCACATATGCATCGTGATACTCCAGTCAGGTTCAACGACCCTCTCCCATACCGAAGGGAGAATGATCTCGCCGTTGGGTCCAACCAGGTCATAATGACCTTCCTGGACATGTGGCCCAATCACGTCGACATGAAGGAATGCTTGCTTGATGAGCTCTTCCATGCCCTGTCGAAATCCAGTCAGAAATTATCCAGTAAAGATCACATATCCAACCAATGGCTGGGGGTCTCAGTGACATAACATACCGGCCAGGTCTGGCACAGGTGGAACGGGAAGCTGAATTTCCGTCCCACGGCGTCCTTGAACTTGATCGGTGGCTTCTCCTTCTTTTTCGCGGCCTCCTCCGCCTTCGTCTTGGCCTCTTCTAGCACCTTCTTCTTGAAGGCCTCCTCGTCCTTCTTCTTTGCCTCCTCGGCCGCCTTTGCGTCCTCAGCGGCCTTCCTTTCCGCCTCGAGTTTGGCGCGCGCGTCGATTTCGGCCTTCAGCTTGGCCTCCTCTTCCAGCTTCTTCCGCCATTCCGCCTCTTCCGCGGCCTTTTTCTCGGCAGCTGCTTTGGCTTCGGCTTCGGCCTTCATGGCGGCCTCGATCTTCTTTTTTGCCGCAGCTTCTGCCGCAGCGGCGGCTTCTGCCTCCCTGAGTCTCCGCTCGTCGAGAGCTCTCATCTCAGCCTCGAGCCTATCTCTCGCCTCCTGCTCGGCACGCTTCATGGCCTCCTCGTGGCGCCTTCTCCTTTCCTCCTCGGCCCGTGCGTCCTTGATCTTTTGCTCCTCGAGGGCCTTCATCTCGGCCTGGAGTTTCTCCCTCGCGTCGCGTTCGGCCCGTTTCAGGGCCTCTTCGTGGAGCCGCCTCCTCTCCTCGTCGGCCTTGCGTTCCGACTCTATCTTGTCCCGCGCCGCCCTCTCCGCCTCGATTTTTGCCTTCTCAATCTCCTTCTTGGCCTCTTCTTGCGCCCTTCGAATCTCCTCCATCCGTCTGCGCAAGGTCTCTTCTGCGTCTCTCCTGATCTTTTCCTCCAGCTCCCTTTGCCTCTCAGCGTCTTCCTTCCTGGCCTGCTCTTTCTTGAAAAGCTCGAGTTGGGCCTTCATCGCTTCAACCTCGGGGTCCGGTTTCTTTTCTGGAGGGGGAGCCGGGGTCGGGGGAGCACCGGGATGTTCCGTAGGTGCCGGGGGTGGAGGGTTGGCATACATGTACTGCTGAAGATGTGGTGGGGGCATACCATATCCTCCGGGGCCTCCGGGGCCTCCGCCGCCATAGTAACCCTGCTGCTGGTATGGTATCATATCATACGGAGCGCGATGCTCCCCAAAGTAGTTGGAGCCGTTCGCGCCGTTCATAGGGGCGAAGGGATTATTATGTTGGTAGTTGCTGTAAGGCACGACCTGCTGCGCGTAATGATTCGGCGGCATGAATCCACCAACGTGACTCTGCGGGTAGCTGGGCTGATGCCCTCTGCCACCATAGTAGTTGGGATTTTGGGGCAGCTGTGGTGGTCCCGGTGGCGGCCCGTAGCCGCGGCCGTACGAAAGACCATATTCGTCGGGGGGTTCACTCATTGGTGCAGGAGGAGCGCGGTAGGTGAAGGACTGTCTGGCGTGTGGGATCTTGTGTCGGCGCGAACCGGAGCGCTGAGGACGGGCGCTGTGTGGTCGCAGTGGTGGCTTGTAGTCAGCACTGGCCGAGGCGGAGTCGGACGGATCGATTTCGTCGTAAGGTTCGTCCCAATGATCTTCACCGTCTGCCTGTGAGGAACTGTACTCGTGGCTTCCGTGTCTGGAGGATTCTCCCTCTTCGAAGGAGCTGGATGAGCTTATAACGCCGTCGTTAATGGTGACAGAGGTTCGTCGTCTCCTTTTTGTAGAGTTTTCGTTAGTCTGCTCTGGAATGTCTCAAATCAAGTGTGCTGAGAAAAAAGAGGAGCGGCACAGCAGAATGCGCATTGGTATCCAGAGAGGCGGCAATACTTACGACATTGGAAAAAGTTGCCCAAACCACCTACTGCTCACGACAATCTGCAGCGAGAGAGTCGGAGCAAAGGTGCCGTAAAAAGCAGGATGGAAAGGTTTGATTCAGCCAGTACTCTGTTTGGTGGATGGATGAAACCCGGCTGTGTTGCTCGTGGGAGGCGCAACAGAAACGGAAGACCGCGCAGGCAGGTTGTGTGGGCGCAGGTAGGTGGTGGACAGGGGTTGGATGGTGGCTTTTTGTGTATGACTGGCGGCACGAGGGACTGCGTGAGCTGAATGCGGGCGGAGGGAATAAAGCGGTCTGGTGATCACAGCCAGCCTTCGAGGTTGCAGGCCAAAAAAGGTGCGAGGAACGGCTGGCAATTGGACAATCACTGGGGATACCCTATTTGGACTGTGAAAATCCGAAGATCGCCTCTCTGGCTGGTCGCTTCTGGGAAAGCGGAACAGGGCTCTGGACGAAAAGTTAGGCGCGATACTCGAATGATTGGGCGTCCCCAGGGACCCGCTTGTTGAAGGCGTCGTCTGTATGAGATCAAGTAGGTAGGTAGATGGTAATGTAGGAGCAGATCTCAGACTCCTGGTTTCTCACCTCCGACCTCAAAACAAAGAGACAGAAAGGTAAAGAGCAGTAAAGTAATAAACAAGGCAGCTCAACAGAGCAGAGAACGATGCAACCTTTCCAAGAAGTGAGAGGAAGGTGCAGCAAATGCGGACGATCAAAGCCGGGCGAGAGACTCGTGGCCAGAATGTTTCGAGGGATGCCGGGTTGCGGCAATGACAATGAGTGGTCAAACAATTAATATAACAGCAGCTATCAAAGCCTCTTTGCTAGGTTGGTAGGTACCTGCGACATAAAAGTACGGTTAGTGAGGGGAGTTACGGGTTGCGGGCATCATTTGGCGGGGCATCTCGCAGTTTTATGTGCGGGAAGATTTGACATGGTGGTCCAGACCAACAGCAATGAGAGGACAGAAAAGGGCACAACGACGGTGATTGGAGAGGATCGGATGTGGTTACGGACAAGGTCTGGGCGGCAGGGCAGGCAGCCCACTCCCATGGCCCGACCCTGGGCAACCCCTCATCACCTTGTCCATCGGTACCCATCGCATCTCCCCGAGACATCAAGCCCTAACTAAAGGCTAGGTAGGCGAAAGAAAACAAAAGAAAACATGGGGAACAGAAAACGGAAACTCAGGTACCCGCGCAAGGTAAGGGGAAACAGCCCGAAGATTAGTAAAAAGCAAGGGTGAGAAGTTACATACCGACAAATCCGAACCTTGAATGGGTATGCAGAGCAGGTGAGCAGGTATTGGACGATGGGTTTGCTGCCTGCGTTGTGGATTTCCAACTTGACTATGCACAGGTCTGCAAGTGGAATCGGCGAGTATCGATTTCCTTGTGGGTTCGTCGGGTTCTGCTTGGTAGAACAAGGCGGCGGGTAATGCTCCAGGCAGCTCGTTGCCCTGCCCACAGCCTAATAAGCAACACCCAACAAAAACAACAGGCAAACAAATTGCACAGCTGTGGCCTTGTCCTGATGATCCGGACAAAGAGCTCTCGTGCGTCCGATAGGAACCTGGGGAAGCTTCCGAATGGCAATGGGCAGTGGTTGAACTAAATCCACAAGGCTCTCTCACTTGGCCGGCAAGTAAGACAACTGACTGGCTCTTTGTCTCTCCAATGGTTTCTTGTGATCCTGTAGTTTGCGATATTTTCGGAGCTCCCACATGATTTTACGTGCAGACTGCAGTGTGGTTTCTCTCGAAACCAGGATTGGGTGAAAGGCACCTTTTGTAGGCAGGCAGTCGAGGTCGAGATCGGGTCAGAAGACAGATAAGATTATAAGGCTGAGCTCACCTTACGGCGAATTATGGACTGACGGATGGATTGATTCGTAACCAAGCAAGCAATCGTGTTTGAGAGACAGGGCAGGGCGGTGCTCCTCGGGCAGCGAGCCTGCGGATAGATATATACCACGGCCAACATCTCATGAGCCTCAAGGTTCTAGATCCAATACTACTTGAGCGACTCGCTACCCGACACCTGCAAATCTCCTTGGCCACGTCAACTCTCCAAACATCCCAGGAGGTGAACCCCCGAAAGCACGCCAAGACAGTTTCACCATCATCGTTACCTGACCGCAGAGCCCAGCAGCAGCATCAGATGCCAGATGGTGTTGCGGTGTGACACAGGGGGAAACGACGTCAGGTAGGTGGTGGTATGTAGTGTATTGCAGAGTAGAAACCCCTAGTATTATGCAGATGTGGTGGAAAAGGATCGAATCAGGGACGAACCAGGAACCGGGAATTAAGCGGGCTGACCTTCCTCTGACTCTGGATCCCGGGCCCACCGTCACCCAATTGACACGGGCAGCTGCGAGCCTAACCGGGTATTGACAAAAATTTTAAACCAGATTCAAGGACAGGAACCGTCGGGATTTGCCAGCAAACACGGGCTGTGACGTGACGAAAAGCAGCCGGTTGGGTTGGGCTCAAGGGCCCGTACCGCATTTTCGAAGTGGTGCAGCCGACCGTCTCCTATAGAAGCTACTGGAGCCACGTGCTGACATGGCCACCAACCCCTTTTCTGACCGAGTGGACCGCGTCCCACCACAGCTGCTTCAGTATCCGCGTCAGGCACCAATGGGTCCGTTTAGTGGCGCTGCATCTTCCCTCACTGCCAGTCGTGAATGTCAACAAGACCACCAAGACCACGACGCAGGATGCCAATTTCCCGCTCCCTATTCATGACTCACACTGATGGGAGCATGACGAAGGAGTCACTGGACCTCGCACCCCAACTCTTGGAACCCGCTGCTGGCGAATATCATCTCTCAATTTCAGACGAGTCTTTGGAAAGAAGCTCACGAGCGGCGGCGATCTCGGCTTCATCATACCCACCCCATCCGCGTTCCTGCGCACCATAACGCCGCACGATTTCAGAGAGCTTCCCAGTGGCCAGCTCGTTGAGCCGTTCGACCGTGGCTGCATCTGGCAGGGCGAAGCCGTCTGACTCGGTCTGCTTGGTTGGTTTGGGTGGTTCCTTGAGCAGCCTCGATGTGACCTGACGTTTCTGTTAATATCCCACGAACCCAACCGAACCAAGCTGCGGCGTCTTACCAGCTTCAGCCCATAGTACCCACGCAGGTAGTCATCGCACAGCTCAGTGCTCCGGGCGAACCGTTTGACGGACTCGGCAAGGTATTTCTGCACAGATCCTTCGACGGCAGTCGAGGCTGTGGCTGCCATGTACAGCAGCTCGCCTAGTTGCGCATGAATCTGGAGTGGTTCGTCAGCACTAAGCTAAGCCAGTTTCGACCTGGAGGAGACTACCGACATTCCACGCGTTGGGCGCCTTCACCAGAACTTCCTCGAGCGCGTATATCGCCTGTGGGTACAGTCCTTGCGAGACGTAGATATCCGCCAACTCGGCCCAAGCCTCTGTATCTGTTGGCGAGAAGTCGAGAAGCTGGATCAGTGACGACACCGCCTCGGAATCCCGACCCATAGAACGCAACAGAGCGATACGGCGTTTGCTGATAGGCTGCCCGATGATCAGTTGTATACCAAGTTATCGTGGGACGGATCACATACTATGTTGGTGTTGTTCTCTGCCAGGATGGCATCGTACTCCTTCAGTACCCTCTCCAGAGCTCCATCATTTTCCGCAGCAGCTTCCTTCGCCAGGCCGTTCAGCGCCATCACCCGCTCATTATCCTCGCCAAACCGCGCCATCAGCCTCTCAAGACATTTGCGCGCCGCCTGCTCATCTCCCGTCCGTAGACACGATAAAAGGAGGTTCTCATATCGCATCCATGCGTCCGCTGATTCCGAAGTCGCAAAGAGAAGGTTGAACGGTGAGAAGGAGCCTGAGCTTGGGGAGCTTCGGAGTACAGCCGGGGCTTGTTGTGACAACTGTAGAGCTTCGGCCGGGGAGAGGCAGCTGGGAGGGTGACGTAAGGAAGGTGCCATTGCGATACAACTTCCAGATCCTTAGTAAATAGGTGTGTATACGATTGAGAAGGCGAATTCGTCAAGTAAGAGACACGACAGACACGTTGAAGCTGTTGACGTTGAAAGAATCGAAAGTACGGCCAAGCTTGAGCTTCGGCTTGGGGATACCACCTTAATGCGTCGTCGCAATTACCAACCAGACAGGAGCGGGAGCTTGCCCAGGTTCCATGAGCCAATCAGAGTAGCCCACTCGAACCCGGATCAACGTTGCTGCACAGTATATATATAGCGTCAGTTCACCCATGTGACGCACTGTATTACGAGATCCTAGGTAGTGAGCTAGTGAGGTACTGTACATCCCACTTCCACCACTCCTGTCCATCATCCAATTTAGAAGTGCGGCGATGCGAAAGCATCTTTCGACCTGTACTGCTCCGAGGGTCCCAACCTCGTGAAAGCCCGCAAGATGCACTTGTGCTCCTTCCCCTTGCTCCTCCACTCCCACCCGAGGCCACTCCGACCTTGAGAACCTGTACCTGAACATACACACCTGACACGGAAATCGCGAACAGTTGCAAGCATGTGCGTCAATATCTAGGGCAGACGGCGAGAGCTACGCTGATGATGTCCAAGGTTCGAGAAGTCGTTATACGACCTCATCCGAGGTTTGCGCAACCACAGAGGAAACGAGAGGGAGTATATACAAGATTGTCTGCGAGAATGTCGGTCCGAGGTTCGCAGCCAGGACATGGGTTAGTCTTCAACTCGCGGCTCCGAAGTGATATGCTATTACATGCTAAGACACTCGTGCTCAGACGTCAAGGCCACCGCCTTGCTCAAGCTCATATACCTCGAAATGGTCGGGCACGATATGTCGTGGGCTTCGTTCCATGTCCTCGAGGTCATGTCGTCGCCAAAGTACCATCAAAAAAGGGTTGGATATCTGGGGGCAGTCCAGAGCTTCCGGCCAGATACAGAAGTTCTGATGCTAGCAACGAATCTCTTGAAAAAAGTGAGCGCTCCTTAACCCAACCTGATCAAACGGGGTGCTGATGTTGTTGCCTCAGGACTTGAATGCCACCATGCCAACCACTATTTCTCTCCCGATCGCCGCCCTCCCTCACATAATAACACCGTCGCTGGCCCTCTCCGTACTGGCAGACTTACTACCTCGCCTGAGTCACTCGCATCCAACCATCAGAAAGAAGACTATCGTAACTCTGTATAGACTGGCGCTGGTGTACCCAGAAACACTGCGCGCAGCGTGGCCGAAGATAAAGGACCGCCTCATGGATAAGGATGAAGATCCCAGCGTCACAGCCGCCATTGTTAATGTTATATGTGAACTTGGATGGCGGAGACCAAACGACTTCCTCCCACTAGCACCAAGGCTGTTTGAGCTTCTGGTAGATAGTGGCAACAACTGGATGGCAATTAAGTTGATTAAGCTGGTACGAGGTTCTGCACCCCCGCAAAGAACGGTATTCTGACATGTCGACAGTTTGCTACCTTGACGCCGTTGGAGCCACGTCTCGTCCGAAAGCTCCTGCCACCCCTGACTAGCATCATCCAGACGACACCTGCCATGTCCTTGCTGTATGAGTGCATCAATGGTATAATCCAGGGCGGTATTCTTGGAGATTCGGATGACGTCTCTGGCGGGGACGAGATTGCGTCTCTCTGTGTCACCAAACTTCGTGGCATGATTATGATGAACAGCGATCCCAATCGTAAGTTGTCCATTTATCAAGCCCCAATTCCCACAAGCAACCTACTAACAGCCCCTGAAGTCAAGTACGTGGCCCTTCTTGCCTTCAACAAGATAGTGGCCACACACCCTTTCCTGGTCGCACAGCAGGAGGATGTGATTCTGGAGTGCATAGACAGCGAGGATATCACAATCCGCATCAAAGCACTCGACCTGGTACAGGGCATGGTTAGCACCGACAACTTGGTATCCATTGTTAGTCGCTTGATGAGGCAGCTCAAGGCTTCTTCCTCGACGTCGTCGAGTAAGCGAAACAGCGCATCACAGCCCGACCCGGAAGCTTATTCCGATGACGATGACGAGACGAGGAAACCTCAGTCGCCCAGAACGGAAGAACAAACGCCCCCCCTCCCAGAAGATTATACCGTGGACGTGATCGGGAGGATACTAAAAATGTGCTCGCAAAACAACTATGGAAGCCTTGTGGATTTCGACTGGTATATCGACGTACTCACTCAACTTGTTCGAATCGCCCCTGTTCCCCGACAGAGGCAGTTGCAGCTGGGCTTCTCATCCCCGGTCTCTCAAGCAACAGCAACCGATGTTTCCGAAAAGATCGGGGACGAGATCAGGAATGTGGCTGTGAAAGTCAAAGCTGTACGATATGCAGCGGTCAGAGCTGCAGATTCCGTCATCTCCCAGCTCAACTCGGAATCCTCATCCACCCACCATGTCGTCTCTGGCGCATTAAAGCCCGCTGCTTGGTTGGTTGGGGAGTATTCCTCACAGCTACCGAATCCCGAGGACACCTTGGGGTGTTTGCTTCAACTAGTTCCCAGGACGAAGAACCCCGAGTTATTAACAACAACACTACAGTCCGCCATCAAGATTCTGGCCCTTATTGTAGGGGATGATCGAGCAATCTGGACCGCCGAGCGCAAGTCTAGACTCTCGCTTCTCATGGCCCGTGTTGTCCACACTCTTGAGCCCTTGGCTTCACACCCCTATCTGGAGGTCCAAGAGCGGGCTGTAGAATTCACGGAACTGCTGAAACTCGCCGTCGAAGCTGCCTCCGGGCAAGCGGCGGCCACCGACGAAGTGCACCAGGATCCTCCTCTTCTCCTCACACAAGCATTGCCCTCCCTGTTCGGCGGATGGGAACTGAATTCAGTTGCTCTCGGCGCACAAGACCATGTTCCCATACCAGAGGGACTCGACCTAGACCAGCCGATCCACCCTAATCTGAATGGGCTGCTCGCACAAGCCGACTTCTTGATGCTGCCCGCCGAGGAAGAGAATGAGTTCGAAGACTACTACTATAAGAGGCCTCCGCCCACGGCCATCGCAAACGAGCCTGCGATTGACAAGCTAGCCGCTGCCCCGGAGGAGATAGTTGGCTCGTACCAACGAGCTGGCGAGGAAAGCTATCTGGATCCCGACATTGTCGCGAGAAGGAAAGCAGAACGCATGGAAAGGAATAAAGACGACCCATTCTATATCCAAGAGTCTGGAAGATCGCCCGGGAGTTCCACCCCAATCCACAACATTCTACGTCATGAAAACGGCCCCGACCTTGATATCGACTCAATCCCCATCATGCAACTCGATCTTGAGAAGCTGGACGCTGGACTGGGCAATACAACGTTAACCGAGAGGCCGGCATTGCGACCCAAACCACGCCAGAGAGTACTGATCGCAGCCGACGAAACCCTCAGCGGCAGCGGGCGCTCAACGCCGCGGCAGTACGAGTCGGAGAACAGCACGGACAGCGTCCCCAAGTCAAGGAACAGAAAACTCGCACAATCTCTTCTGCAGGTCGACTCGAGCCACATCGGCAGTCTCAGTCTCGACTCCAACCAAACCAGTATCGGATACGACCCCGAGCAACAGCAACGGGAAGAAGCCGAGATGACTCGAGCCGTGAAGGAGGTCGAGAGGCTGCGTCTCGAGATGCAACGCGCCAACGAGCGCATACAGATTGCCCAGGGGGTCCCGGCCGAGGGCACCGTGCTCAAGAAGAAGAAGCCGAGGAAGCCCAAGGCCGACGACGAGGAAGGTGGTACCTCGAAGGTCAGGAAGAAGAAGAAGAAGCCCGCTGCTGTGGCCGAGGAGGGCGGAGATGGTGGGACAGCGGGGGCCGATGCCGCCGAGGTGGTAGTAAAGCCGGCCAGGAAGAAGAAGGCGGCGAAGAAACTTGTCGCACTGGATGATGACCAGGCAGGATCAGGTCCTCAGTAATGATTTCACATGAAGCATATAGTCTCTATAACTCGTGTGAATGAGATGAGATATAGCAACAACTCGCAGAGAGCCCATGAATGGCAACGTCTCTATCTATGATCCAGCATCGCGCATTGCGACAGTCATGACCAAGCGAGCCCATCATCTGCTCCCTATAGTAGATACATCCCATCACCTCTCCTTTCCCTCCACCTCCGCGAATCCCCTTTTATCCAGCTCTGCCGAATCCCCATCCGGCACCAGCGGGGTCTGCACCGAGTCCCTCACCGCCACGCCATCCTCGGCGACCGTCAACCCATCGACCCCTCCGACCACCACCACCTCCCCCGCCCCCGCCTCCCCATCCCCGCCCAACCTCCCCCACGCCGGCCTGTTCCGCCTCTCGTCCCCGCCCTCGCTCCTGAAGTGGTACCCCCTCGCGCGGGGCCTCGCGTCCGCGCCGGCGGGCGGCAGGTCGGGCTCGTAGGCGGCGGCGAAGCGGGCGCCGTCTGTTGCGCCCAGCCCCGCTCCGTAGGAGGCGCGGACGCCGGCGAAGAAGTCGGACGCTACGCGGTGGTTGTGGATCTGCAGCAGGGTCCAGCCCAGCATCTCGCGGGCGCGCAGGAGGTGGTGCACGTAGGCGCGGTGGTGGTGCGTGCAGGCGTGGCAGGCGCAGCCCGGGCGGAGGGGGAGGAGGGAAGTTTGGTGGGTCGGGGAGGACATGTCGATGCCTAGGGGGAGGGGGGCCGTGTCTGGGTTTGGGTCTGTGGGGGGCGTCGCTGCTGGTTGGGGGGCGGGGAAGGTGAATGTCAGTGCGATGCCGTTGTCCGAGGCGGTGTTGATGAACGGGAGGAGGAAGATGTCGACGCCCAGGGAGATCTGCTTGAGGATGTCGTGGGGTGTCGCGGCTTCGTCGAGGGAGAGGCGGGGCAGGGGAAGCAGGGAGCTGTAGTTCTTGAGGTCCGGGAGGATGTCCGTGTTGTAGATGGCGAGACCGGATAGGGCCTGCTGGTGGTCTTCCGAGAGCCGGTTGAGGTACTCCCATTGCATGGGGTAGGGTATGGGGAGCACCGGTGCAAAGACAGAAATGTTGGATGGTTTGAGCACCGAGTCCGGGTCTAGTCGTCTGAACCAATGGTTAAGCCAGTCCTCTGTCCTCTCGGCCATTCGTAGCGCTCGCTTGGGCTTTGGAGTGGCAGATGACGGGGTAAGATCCGCCAGTGGTATCACAATGTCCGGCTTGAGCGTCTCTGTTGCCGTCTCGTACTCCTCGGTCGATAAGCCCTGGAAGCCAGTGGAGGCGAAGATGGAGATGCCATTCTGGCTATTGCCCATCGGGGCTGCAATGGCCGGGAATCGCCGAGCCCCTAACACGGTGATGGTCGAGGGCGGCATCGCCGTGTACGCATGGAGGGGCGTGGCATGCGACGAGGGCACATTATAGATAGGGGGTTCCCTCTTGGGGTTCTTCTGAGACTTCTCAATGACTTTGCTGGAGTTAGGCTCAGGGCTAAGAAATAACGGCGCGATCCATATTGGCATTTGAACTACTCACAGTCCTCAAGCCCCATGTATACGCCTGCACTCTCGACGTGTTTTGCAAAGATATCCGGGGTGACGTGAGGCACGGCACCCCTCGAACTTATGGGAAAGAAACCCGGGGTCTCCAGCACTTTACGGTGCGGGATCGTGAGACGTCCCAGTCTTGCGGATGCTCCATCTCCAAGAACGCTCTTGAGCACCTCGAATCTCATCGCGTCTGCTCCTTCTTCGGACTTATGCATCCTGGACCTGGTGAGATGAGCTGTTCTGTTTCTGTATGCTTAACAGCTGCTGCGCATGGGTAGGCAGGGCTGAGAGAACTAGCTGACAGGTCGGCCTACGCAATCCTCTTCTGAGCAACCGTAATACTGCTTCTCATCATGGTCAGATTTGATCTTGTCGGGAACCAGCTATTGTACTCTCTCAGAAGCTTTTCTCACGGTCGGGTATAATCCATTTTTCGATCAGCCACAGGACACTAGCCACAGTTATTGGGGTTACTCACCAGCCCTAGTTCGTTTAGCGTGACCATCCCAAGCAGGTCTGTGGAGATGCGAGCCTTGTGGCCACCGACTAAGCAGCCAAGGGGCATTGTCTTATTATCCCGACCAATGATGCGCATCTCCCCATCCACGAGGCTTGGTCTCAAACCCATGTCCGGCTTACACGGCATCTCGGCGAGAGCCTGACTCGGGCAACCATCGGACTCTTTTCCCTTCCTCTTTCTCTTTCTCTTTCTCTTCAGTTTTCGGATAAGGTCCCGCCCATTATTGTATCCCATCTCTGTCTTTTCCTTAGCCTCAATTCTCTTCGGAGAACACCCTCTGCAGGTCTGACAGGCGCCATTGACGACCTGCCTCGGACCGCTATCTAACGTCACGAACCATGGGCGAAGGCAGGACCGGAGCGACCGGGCGCGAACAAGCTGCCGATGGCCAGTGGGAGGCCAGTACGAGCTCTGTGGCGGAGGCTTCTATCGAAGAAGTTACAGTGCAGGAGGTGGAGGAGGACTCGTCTCCCCCAACCCCGCGCTTCATACAGGAGGAAGGTCCATGGAAGAGGTGGAAATGGGTGCCGTACCCCGTCCGGCGCTTCACCAAGGCCATGATAAAATGGTCCAAAGGCCCTCCGAGCCCCCGCGACTACACCATCGAACCCATCCTACCCGCCGTCCAACATGCCCCGATCTGGCTTCTCGATCGATTCTTGCCGCGCCGGCAGCACAGGATATGGCTCGTCATGGCCTACTTTGCCGTCTGGATAGTCACCTACGCGTTGGTGATGCGCCAAGGGCTCGTGGACACAGAGATTGAGAATTTCGGCAAGGCGGGGGACATTGGATGCGGCAGCACCTATTGGGTACCGGGGAATTCGTGCGGGATTGACGGCATTGATTGCCGTCCTTTTAATGACACCGGCTTCGCGTTCAGGTGCCCCGCGAACTGTGCGAGTTACTCGGTGCTTAACCCGCGCGCTGTTGGAAAGCAGGAGGTCATATACCGGCCGCTGGTCGTCGGGGGCCCGGGGACCGAAGGCAGCGATGCAGACCCGGTCTACCGGGGCGACTCTCTTATCTGCGGGGCAGCCATCCATGCGGGCGTCATCACAGACAGCAAAGGTGGATGCGGTGTGGTCAGCGTCATTGGGACACAGAGTAACTTTGTCGCCTCTGCGAGACACGGCATTCGAAGCCTTGCCTTCGATTCGTACTTCCCGCTATCCTTCACGTTTGAGAGCGGGATCAATTGCAGCTCGCGGGATATGAGATGGGCCTTGCTTGCCGTCTCGGTGGTTTTCACCACGGGCTTGTCCCTCTTTACCACCTCCCCGGCGCTCTTCTTTTTTGGATCATTTGTCGGCATCTTTTGGAATACTGGCCTGGCGTCCGATCAACCGTCGCATACCTCCATCCCCGGTCTGATATCGAATCTTGCCGGGAAGTTCCTGCCCGCCATGTTCATCGCCTGGGTCATGTACGACAAGATGGGGGTAAGACGTACCCTTCGAGGTCTAACTGCCCAGGTCGAGAAGACGGTCCTCTGGCTTGGCGCGTGCTGGGTGGGCGCACTCACGAACTACACCTTCGACTTCATCCCCATCCAACGCCTCACCCCGCATGATCTAAAGCAGCAGCCAGGGGCTCGAGCCGCCTTGGCCATCATAATCCTGCTCCTGCTGGGAATCGTAGCGTCGCAGATTTGGTTCTTCCGCCACGAGGGCCGGCTCGTTCGCTACCTCAAGCTCTACGTCTTGTTTGGTGGCGGGCTAATAGTCTGCCTCGTGCTCCCAGACTTGAGCCTACGGATACACCATTATATCCTTGCGCTCCTCCTCTTGCCGGGTACGAGCATGCAAACTCGCCCGTCGCTGCTTTATCAGGGCCTGCTGATGGGCTTCTTCATCAACGGCATCGCGCGCTGGGGCTTCGACCCGGTTCTACAGACGGCATTCGCCTTGAGAGGCGATGCCCAGCTCGGTTCGCCTCTACCGAGCATCCTTGCACCTGCAATCACCATCGGGGCGAATCTGTCTACAATCATATTCAAATGGCGGCCGCCACCGGGGCCCCGGTACGACGGCATCAGCGTTCTGGTTAACGACGTGGAACGGTTCCGAGGGTACTTTGATGACGATTCCGGGCCGGTCGACAACTTCACCTGGACAAGGAAAGGCGACCAGGATATCAACGAGTACTTTCGCTTTGCCTATATGGAAGGGAGCCGGAGCGACGACTACACCAAGGCGGGGGTGTGGAACGAGGAAGGTGAGTGGGAGGTGATGGAGAGCGGCCCGTCCAAGATCAAGCGTCGGTCCTTGGGTGGCGACGGGAGGCTATTTATGAACTGACATTTGAGGAAAATGATTTATTGATTTATTTATTGCGCCGTACAACACCCCTTCAAACAGATGAATGCCATAGTACGAAAAGACACTCCTTCATACCTAATTTCCTCTTTCATCTGGAGACCTGCCTAGTGTAAGACGTTGAGCAGGCATCTGATAGATCCGCATAGTAGGTTGCTATCTACCGTAGAATGTCTTGCCGCCGTTAGGATACCCAAGCTAGGTGCCAACCTAGACACCGTAGACAAGCAGAGGATATCAGAAGTTAGAGTGATTCATGAACATCCTTAAATAGAAAGAACTGCTGTGGTGGTTGAAGTGGCCAATAGACAACCGCTGGTGGACCGATTCCGGGGTTCTGCCGCCGATGCCAGACCTCATCTCATCGAAGACACAACACATCTCTACTACCACCTTCATCAAACAAGTTTTCAACGTTCACGTTCACGGGATATATCAGTATATCATATCAAACAATCATCCCACCCGTGAACCGCAACCATGCCGCCCACCCGCATCCCCACAGCCGAAGACTTCGCCCCCCTCTCGCCCTCCCTCACCGTCTCCCTGGTCTTCCCCTCGCCCCCGGAATCCACCACCGCCATCCTGCTCCTCTTCCACGGCCTCGGCGACTCGGAGGCCTCCTTCGCCTCCTTCGCCCGCAGCATCGCCCTGCCCGGCGTCCTGGCCGTCTCCGTCCGGGGCCCCGCCCCGCTGCCGCCGTCTCTGCTCGGCGACGACACCGACGGCCCCGCGCGGCACTTCCACTGGGGCGACGACCTGACCCTGGCACACGGGACGGGCGAGCTGGATCCCGACCCGGGGTTTAAGGGTGCGGAGAGGCTGGTCATGGAGAGGCTCGTGGGGGAGGTCCTGGTGGAGAGGTGTGGTTGGGAGTTGGGTGATGTTTTGCTCTTCGGCTTTGGGCAGGGCGGGTCGTTCGCGTTGGGCCTTGCGTCGAGGGCGAGGATGGGGAAGAGGGTTGAGGAGGTGACGGAGGAGGCGAGCGAGGCGGAGCAGGGGAGGGGAAGGACGTTCAAGGGGGTCGTCTCGATTGGGGGTCCGCTGCCACCCAGTATGATCCCTACTATCAGTGCTAGGGAGAAAGCAAGAACTCCGGTACTCGTCTGCCATGGCAGCGCGAGCGAGGCTGTTGATGAGGATGCTGTTGAGACTCTCAAGGAGGAGTTTGCAGACGTCAAGGACGTAAAATGGAAGCGGCCAGATGATGACATGCCTCGGAGCAGAGAAGAAGTCCTCCCCATGATGGAATTTTTTGCTGATAGGCTACGGAGTGGATGGTGAGGTAGAGGAATTAAAAGTAATAAAATAAAATGAAAAAGGAACGGGAAAAAAAAGAAAATCAGCAGTATAGAGAGCAGATATCAAAAGTCTTCGGACAGAAGAGATAAGATCTCTTCTGTCCTAATGTCTCCCCCGGCCCGAACCCACTCCTCCGCCAGATGCACAGTTTGACCTGAACCAACATGACCATGCGGCCGCCTGCTGTGATCCCCTCGAAAACCATCGACATTACTGGCCCTTATATGTACACCTCGGAAACCCTATCCTGTGCACGTGCCTCGGAGCCATGTCCAACCAAGTAGGGGGTCACCAGGGGTAAAAACCTAGATCGCTCTTACTTCCAAGTCTACCTACCTAGTACAACGGAGCTTTCCCCACGCATACCACGCATACTGGCATAGATTCATCAGAGCCTACATCTACATTCCGGCCTTACAACTCCGTGACTGCTCCTATCAAATGATGTAAACAAACAACCTCGGCATAAGTCTTGGATGCAGGATGCCTCTCCATCCTCAAACTCAACCTTGGAACCCCTTTCCCATAGGTACTACTACTCATCTTTCCCCTATCTACCTATAACGGCCTTATGCCTCGGTCATCTTGTTCCGCAATTGGAAACCGCTGCAACGTACGAACGTCATTCCTCGAGGTTATTATTCAGTCTGGATGATCGCGGGAGGTCGGTAGGAATATCTCGAAATTCCCTGTAATAGCCCTCATATGATAGAGAGCATTGATATGCGACACAGTCGATTTTTAATGTTTACCAGATCACCCCCCCCTTGTATATAATATCCAGAGCTACGTGTGGAGGAGGCATACCTCGTTCAGTCTCGTGATGAGACCTGCCTCACAAAACTTCCAGTTCCGTAGCTCCTTTCCCCAAAGCAGGCAGGGCAAAAGTGGTGTCCCCCACGATAACTTAAGTTGCCATACCATCAAAAATCTATTTGCATATCTCGGTAACTCACCGGCTGACGAAAAGATTACAGTAAACGTAGTTTCTGATTGTTTGTCTTCCATATTGGCGCAGAGAAGGTCAGGGCCATGAGGCTCATCGCCGTTTGCGACATGAGTGTCAGGAAAGAGGATGAACACTTCCGAGCCGACACTTGTGGGACAGGTAGCAGAAAGATGCCGATAGAGGGCATGATGTGAGAAAGAGGACCACGGCCGAATGGTGATCATTCGGCGTGGGCGACACTCGGGTTCCCAACACCACCATGCTAACCACCTGCAAACATGCCGATCCAACCGACATTATAACGTTAGAAGAGGCAGGCCACGGTTTTCACTTAACGTGTGTATCCCTCAGGCTCCGTTGATGAGGTATCCGTCATCCACGAAGAGTAAAAAGAGAAGAAATACCAGGCAAGTATGGGAACTGCCTAGGGGGTTTGGTATCGGCAAGTGCAATTTCCGCTGGCTCGGAAAATGAGGACGCCTCCAACCAACGCTCCAAATGGAAAGCGTACTGAGGTTGCCGGCAAAAGTTGACCTTGCATGACAAGGCTTGAGCTGTACAGTACTACATGAGAGCATGTTTGCAGAAAGCACATGCCACTTACTTTGACCTAGAGACTACCAACGGCATGCGTTTGGTCTAGCGCAGGGGGGAGGTGACGTTGGCTTCTAGGCTGAGCAGATTGCCAAGCTGCTTACAGGCATTATCACCGGAACGGCAAGCGTTGGGAGGAAGGCAGCAATTGCCTCGGCAGCCTGACGGGCTGGGAGGGTAGAGTCGGGAGACAATCGGGCATCGGCGGTCGCCCCGTTTCATTGCTGAGAAACCGTCAAGTGAGGTGCTTTACTGGTGTGTAGGTGCTGCTTGTTTCTGGAACTGTTAAGACAGTTACTTGCAATCCCCTCTTAGAAGAATATCCGACCTGACTTCCCCATTTGTGGCGCCAGTCACAAGGCATTTCGACTGCCTAGGTACCTATTCATAACTGAATCGGTTCTTGCCGGTTGCCAACTCACTCCTTGCTCATGAATGTGAATGAGACGATGCACATGATTACCTGAATCGTTCCCTGTCTGGCTTCTTACATTCCCCAGCGATGGTTGCAGGTCAATCTATCCACACTTACCTTCTCTGATCCTTTGTTCCGCGGTTGTCTGATTCACAGCCTTGCGGCTGCATCTATTCGGTGCTAGTTACGTTGGATAACATCGACCTTTCTTTCATCATGGCCATGGAGGAGGGCACTATGGAATGCCCTTTCTGTGGCTATAAAGCCGCCGAGGGCGAATATGCCATGTTACTTGTGTGTCACCACTCCTCCCCTCTCTTGCCGCTGGACTCGGACCCGTCGCCCCAGCAGGTCGTTTGCTTACACAGCTCTGCAGCATATGGAAACCTTTCATGCTGAGAGCCAGTCTTCCTTGGATTTGAATGGGGAGGCCTCGCCGGGCAAGTTCGAGGAAAGCGAATACATCGAGTGTCCCATCGAGGGCTGCGGCGAGGTCCTCCTGCTGGATGAGATGGACTTCCACGTGGAACTGCACGCACAAGAGGCCGAGCTGTACTCGGAACCGCAGGAGCTACCGGCCAGTTTCAAGGCGGAAGGACCCACCCCGGGGCCCTCGCGGAGCCGGTCTCCTCCGCCGGCGGTCTCCAGTCGGCAGCAGACCGCCATCCATGCGTGGAGGAACCTCTTGGCGATGCCATCTTCGAAGCGTGGGGCGAGCGACGGCGAGAAGCACTCTGTTATCAGCGCCGCGCAAGCTAGGAGACTTGGGGTGAGAAGGCGAACCCCCCCCCTTCCCGCGGGACTGCGGTACCGCCAGAAATATAATCCCGGCTGACATCGGCTACGCCACTGCATAGAGATCCCAGCTTGGGAAATATGCCCACGAAGACCGCATGCCTGACTGGCTGGTCTCCCATCTTCAGAAGGGCGGCCAAGTAGACCAAGCAGGTTAGGAAATTCAGTGCCGGCATCCACAGGGTAACGAGTCAGCTCACATATCCAGGTGTGATCCCGGTCCTCGAACAACTTCTCGCGCAGTCTTCGACGACGAAGTACGCGTACTTGTGCCACGGCTGCGTCCACCACGTCTCCAAACTCAAGAAGGAGGGTGAGTATTGCTCTGAATAATAGCCGCCCAAACGCCGAAACTGACTCTGAACCTAGGTGGGTTTTGCGGCTATCGGAACATCCAGATGATGGCCTCGTACATCAATGGGGTCCGGCTCCAGGGACACCAGCAATTCAAGAAGAAACTGCCGTCCGTGTTCCAGATTCAGGACTTGATCGAGACGGCATGGGATGCTGGCATCAACGCGCAGGGACGCGTTGAGACCGGTGGCATCAGGGGGACTCGCAAGTACATCGGCACGCCCGAGGTGACTCCCCCGAGTTTCCGTAATGGTGTAGAAAATGGGCTGACGAGTTGCTGCTACAGGCTCTAGCCATGTTCAGGCTCCTGGAAATACCGTCAGTCCCCGCCGCCGCCTCCACAGCCACTCTTAACAAGGACCACCTACTAACCCGCCGTTAACCTAGCTGTGACGCCCAAGGATTCAAGGACAGGGAACCGGGCAAATCCGAGGCGCTGTTGATCGAGCATGTGGAGAACTATTTCATGTCCGGAGTGATCGATCCGGGACAGAGGGTACGACCCACAAACCTGCCCCCGATCTACTTCCAACATGCCGGTACGTGTCATGCACCCGTCCCCTCCCCCTGTTTCTGTTCCCGGCCCACGTCCCCTCTAACTACCGGCCGGCGCCCGTACCAGGTCACTCGATGACGATCGTCGGATTCGAGAAGGAGAAGAACGGGTCCAAGAACCTCCTCGTCTTCGACCCCATGTTCTGCGACGCCTCGGGCATCGTGAAGCTGGTCGGCAAGAAGTTTGAGCACAGGTTCCCCGACATGGCCCTCAAGCCGTATCGGAGGGGGAGCAAGTACCTCAAGAAGTTCCGCGAGTTCGAGGTCTTGAGGTGAGAGAGCCCCTGTTCCCGCCTGCACTTCAGACAGGCTAGGGTTGAATGCAAGCAAGCAAAGCTGACCCAACTCGATACAGAATTCGGTCAACGCAAGATGCCGGGCACTCATGACATTAAAGGTTACTGAGTCAAGAGCATGGGGTTAATTCAGGGGTGTGAGGGTCTATTCGAGTGAGGACATCTGGTTAGGATGAGGGAGCCGGGCAAAAACCAGCATCTATGTTTTCCCTCTTATACCCTAGCCATTCACGAAGTCATCTCCTTTTTGAACCACGCCTGCAGCTTCTCCAAGGCCTTGAAGCGGTGCGAGATCTTGTTCTTCTCCACCTTGTCCATCTCGGCGTAGCTGAGTAGAGAAACACAGAGTTAGCCAACGGGGGGTGCACAGTATTTTGTTTGCCTTTCCCCTGTTTCCCAACGAATCAAACAAATATGGAAAAGAGAAGTAAGGAGGTGGGGGGGGGGGGAGACAAGAGGAAACCTACGTTTTCCCCTCATACTCGAACACAGGGTCCCAGCCGAAGTGGCCAGGCCCCCTGGCCGGCACGATCCTGCCCTCGGTGACGCCCTGGAAGAGCAAGGGCTCGTGGCCGGGGCCGGGAGAGTAGGCGAACGTGCAGACGGCCCGCGCCGACTTGTCCTCGTACGCGGCTAGGAGGTTGTTCAGTCCCTCGTGACCGAGTGAGGTTAGGAACCATTTGCTAGGGGTGGGGGGTGTTAACTAGCTATTCTTGAGAGAGGTTGGGGGGGGGCGCGCGGGAGGGGAAGTAAATGAACATGATCTTCCTAGTCAAACTTTCCAAGACATATAGAAGAGAGATATAGCTCACATATAGGGGCCCGGCAGGCCATTGAGCGCATTGAAGCAGAGGCACGTGTCCTCGACCAGGACGGGACCTTCGATCTAGTGTAGGCCAGACGGGGAAGTGTCAGTAAAGTACAAAATCCTGGCTGGCGAGAGGGGCAAAAGGAAGAAGAAAAATTACCAAGTCGGCCGCCCTCCTGCACTTGTCCAGCGTCACCTCCTCCACCGTCCCCTGGATCTCGATGAGGTCCAGCTCCTGGCTCCCGACCTGGATGGCCGGCTCGAGGATGGCCTTCACCTCCCTCAGCTTGTTGGCGTTGCCCGTGATGAAGTTCACGTTGTGCCGGACAGCGCTTGGGGCGGACATGTTGGGCACGTTTCGGTTTTAGGGGGGTTATCCCTCTGTTTCTCTTGGTCCTGTTGCTACTGTAGCGTATGATATGCCTGTAGAAATTGGGCGGTATACAGTGGGGTTGATGGAGGGGCGGGCAGCTGCAGTGATGCTGGATGTTAGAGGTGTAAGTCTCCACGTTTTTCAAGGGATGTGGCCCTGATTGGCTGGATGGCTGTATTTTACATCTACATACAATGCTCCTCATAGACTTTCAATCGAACCAGCAAAACCCTGGGTCAGCTCCCAACATGACTCACAACCCCGTAGTTTGTACACGAGGCTCACCTCGGTGAGACCCAAGGTGTGTTTCATAGATATCTGGGTATCACAGGCTTTTATTCATTCATTTATTTGTTCATTTATTTCTTCTTTTTTGAAGAACCCTGCCCTCAAGTCGCGGGCGCATTATCCTGCCTCCACTGCCTCAACCACGCCTCGATACGGTCTACATTGCCATCTACCTCGTCGGACGAGTTGCTCATCAGCTCGACGACTATCTCCTCGTCATAGGCGTCACGCGCCTCCTGGAGCAGCACCTCCATGATCTCAGAGTCTAGGTTCTCCTGCAGCTTCGCCTCGGGGTATTTCCTGGCGAGGGGTTAACAAGTCAGCAACTCGTGGGTTCAGCGCCAGAACCCGAAGAGGCAAAGGTGGGGTGAGAGTAGGGGATGAGGGAAGCATAGTTCCGGGTTTTGGAAGTCAACACCTTACCTTGCGGTAAGCCGGTCGTACAGCATGGTCGAGTCCGTCCGGAGGACGACGACGAGGTCGATCCAACTCCTGGGGAACAGGTCGCAGGCGTGCCAGTCGATTATACAACCTCCCTGCTTGACTTCCTCCTCAATCGAGTCTAATAACTATTTGTTTGAAGAGGCCCGTGTAAGTCAGGTGCGGGTGAGATATAACTGAGACCTAGGGACGAGGCCAAAAAAAAAAAAAAAAAGAAATGGAAGAGGAAGAAAAAGTCACCTTATCCTCATCGACGATCCAGGACTGGTACTCCTCGTCCCAACCCTCGTGGCATTCCCGGTCCTTGACGATTTGGTTGACGGACAGGTGCCTGAGCCCTGTGCGCTCGGCCAGGACCTCGCAGTGGGTTGTCTTGCCCACGCCAGGGGTCCCTGTGACGATGATATTCGGCGACGTGCGCGCCATGCCCTCCTTCTTTTTGGGGGTAATGGTGCGTGATGGTAAATTTAGGTCTCCCTCTCTCTGTTTTTCCCCGCGGTAAGGGGGTGGATTTCTTGCAAGTGTTGTTTTGGTCCGAGGCGCAAGATCCCGTTCTCAAGTTGAAAAAGTGATTTTCAAGGGTTCACAGATCGCGATCACGTGAAGCTACTTAAAACACGTTATATCATTGAACCAGCTGTATTACATAATTCACTCTTTACCCTCACCAAGAACAGAAAGGGCCAGCAGGCTGGAAGAGACGGGGAAACGCCTCCTTCGAGGCAAAAAGTGTAGTTGTAGAATGATACAGCCAAAATGCTACATGGGGTATGCGGTACAGTGTATCCATACAATGCGCGAAGCTAACTTCAGCGTTCCCCATCCCAGCGCGTCTGAAGGTTCTTTTGGCCATCATTGTCTCGATCAGGGAGGGGGTTATAGGCCTCCACAAGATACGGAGCCGTCTGGTTGTCGAACGTATCGTCCAATGAAATCCTTTTGTATCGAACGTCGCGCCTGTGATGGTGGGTATGTCTCTCTCTCTCTCTCTCTCTCTCTCTCTCTCTCTCTCTCTCTGTGTGTGTGTGTGTGTGTGTCTCTGTGTGTGTTCTCTCTCTCTAATCCCCTCAACCAACGATATCCTTTTGACAACCAGAAATGTGCCGCTGCCTTCCACTATCCACCGCGCTCCATTATCTCCACTTTCGCTTCTAAATCTCTTCCATAACGCCAGAACGGCGAGGCACCGGACCCGCCTATAATGCTGCTGTTTCCCTCCACGCTGAGAGGAGAAATGAAGTCGGGCTCTGCCTCGGCATGGCCGGCAGAATACGAGGTTGGCGTGCCCACTAGGCACTGGCTTCGATGGGCTCGGGCGTCTCGTCGACTTCGGCCAGGTCGTTCATCTCGCTGTTATAGTCGCTGACTTGCGAACCGAACTCCATCTTCTCCTGTTGCGCAATGGCCTGTGCCGACACAATCTCTGCTAGCCTCTTAAGCCGGGGAGTTTGTAGCCCTGGAGACGAGTTAGTTTGATGGAAGGGGAACACGGAGTGGGTCCAAGCAGTGATGATTGCTTACAAGAAGGGGTGTAGGTCTCGAGAGCTGTGATCACCCTGGGCTCAGCAATCTCGTAGGGGCCACTGTCGTCCATATCGACAGCCTGGAGGAGCAGGACATCGCTCTTCTCCGTGACTCGAGAGGCGACTGCCTTCATGATCTCGCCGTTAATGGGCTGCTCGTAGTCGGCGACCAGGTACTGGTTCAGCAGCTTCTGGATTTGGTTTGGCGAGAGCCTAGATTTCAGAGTCAGCTTGCCCCCCAGCAGCGTATTTTATGGCATCAGGGTAACCTACATCCAGCAGATGTCCTGAATGATCTCGATATCATTCAATGTCGCCTTCTTCAGCTGCAGGAGCTTCGTAGCTTGCTGTTTGGTTGTTAGCACAATCCTCTCAGGACGCCTAAGAAAAGAAGAAGAGGCCAGGGGATAACTGACCATGAGATGTTCTAGCTGCAGGGTGCCCTCTGGCATATCGTGACTCTTGCACCACTCCTCAATGCGGGTGATGTTGTAGTTGATCTGGAGGCCACGCTTCCACGACAGGAAGTTCCGGCGCATCAGCAGATCGTTGAAGGCCGTGACACCAACCAGACGGAGCAGCTCGGTGACGGTCTGGGTGATGATGGAATCCTCGAGGTAGTAGGCCTTCATGGCGCGGAAGACGCTGTTGAGAAGGGACAGAAGGTTGTCCATGCTGTAGGCCGGCGTCGAATTCGACGGCAGGAGCTTACCGAGGAACCTGTTGTTCTCATTCGTGACAAAGCCCGGCAGCGACTGCGATTCGATGATCGCGGGGATGATCATCTTGTGCAGCTTCTTCTTGAGAACCTTCATCCAGGTGTGGTAGATGTTGAACTCCAAGCTCTCGAGGTCGTGCTTGACGATCTCCAGTAGGCGGTCGTACTCGTAGTTGTCCGTCTTCTGAGCCTCGTACCAATCCTCGGCCAGGAAGACGAAGGAGAGCATCTCGTGCACGTTGGAGAGCCAGAAGGCGCCGGGGTTGATGGCCTCCTCGCCGTCGTGCTGCATCACTTCCTGCTGGATGGACTGCATGACGTTCGCAAGGAAACGCTCCGACTCCTTCACGAAGCCATTGTTCCACATCTCCGAGGTAACGAGGTTGATGAGATAAGAGGGGAATAGCACCTCCTTGTCCGACGGGGGCGGGTTCGTGTTGGGGGATGGGATCTTGAGGTTGCGGATGAGGCCCATTGTAACCTCCTCGTTGAGGCCTTCCTCGTCGGCGAGGAGGGACTCGAGCTCGAGCTCGATGTTGTCCACACCGGGGATGAAAGTCGCCCCGGAGAGGGTGTTCTGGCGGTTGAGTCCGCTGACGGCCATGGAGACGGGCCGGGGGTTGTAGGCCATGCTGTAGCGGTCTGTCTCGCGAGGCTCGGCGCCCGCACTTCGTCGCTTGGGCTTCTTGGACGATACCAAATTGATGAGGCCAGTCGCTATTGTGGGAGCCGGTCCGGCGCCATTCGTGAGCTCTCCGTTCACGGGCATGTTCCTCTTCGCCACTTCGAGGGCGTCTTGTAGCTCGGCCAGTTGCTGGCGAAGCGAGTTCTTCTCGGCCTCCTGCCGCTGGCCATCTTGGCGGGCCATCTCGAGCTCCGTGCTCGTATCCCTGAGGGAGTCTCGGAGCCGCCTCTCCTCCTCCTGCATCCTCTTGACGTTGGCCGCCGACTCCTCGAAGTTGCTCTGGAGCTTCTTCATCTCCGCCTCCATCGCCTCCAGTCGGGCGGCAGTAATGCCGGCCTGGTTCGCCTCCGTCTGGAGCTCCTTCGTCCGAGCCTCGAGCGCATTGTGCCGGTTCCTCCAGGCCATCACTTGGCCCTCGTAGTTCTCTACCTGGCTCTTGAGCTCCTTGTTTTGGGCCTTCACGGTACCCAGGGACTGCGTCAGCTCGACGACCTTGTTCTCGAGCTTGTACGAGATCTGCTTGAGATCGCGCGCCTCGGCACGGACAACCTTGTACCCCTGGCGAGCACTCCTGCCACGCCACAGGCTCTGGATGATGACGACCTTCTTCCGGTATTGTCTCCAGCTGCGCAGGGCCTGTCTTGAGCGCCACGAGCGCTGGATGACGAGGGCGGCGTTGCCGACGCGCGTCTCCATGATCTCCTTCCTCCGCAGGAAGCCCTTCATGGCGGACTGCGCGAGGATGACATCGCCCCTGATACGGAGGAAGCGCTTCCGCTCCTTCTGCCCGCGCCAGACTCGCTGGATGGTGACGGCGGCCTTGATGGTCCGAAGCTCCTGGGCCTTTGACCTCGACAACCAAGCCCTTGTGGCGGCCTGGAAGGCGATGATGGAGTCGCGCGCTGCCAGATACCTCCTCCGGTAATATTTGGCCCTCAGGTTCTTCTGGATGAGGATGGCGCACTCGTTCAGCCTGTTGGTTCGCAGGTTCTCAAGGAAGGCCAGCATGCCGGCGCGGAAGAAGATCTTGGTGAGACCCAGCTGATACTTGTCCACGCCGCTGCCAGTACCCGCGCCGAAGGCCTTGGTCAGGATGGCATTCGCCATCTGCCTGATCTCGGCCGTCCACTTCGGGGACGGCACGAGCATGTAATACCGCAGGGCGAACTCTTCATAGGTCCACCTCGTAGGATAGCCCGCACAACTAATGCGGACGGTTTCCAGGACACCACAAGCTCGAAGCTGGCTCAAGACCATGGGGCCCTCAAACATCCACGCCTCCTTCGCCTCGTTTGGCTTGATGCACCGAATGTAGTGGACATCGGTGTTGTTGATGGTGTTCATCAGCTCGATGAGGGATGACTTGAAAATTCCACCTAGGGTCGGCTTGCGGTTGACAGCCACGCCGATCTTCCTACCACCGGCGGGCCTCACTGCATTCGACGCGGCAGAGGCCAAGTCTTTCTCGCGCACAGCCGAGGCAGCCTGCAGCACCGAGCCAAGGAACCTGTTCGTGGAGGCTCGAAGGACTGCCATGTGCTCGTCCGGGACGGTGTCACGGTTCTTCTCGATGAAGCCGTCGGACTCGTAGGTGACGTCGATGGCGTAGTGGCAGACGGTGAAGGCCGACTTGCCAAACCTCGGCTTCTTGTAGAACTTGTTCTTGTCGGCGGCGTAGTTGTGATGTAGCTTGGTGACGAACTGCTCGTCGGCGCCCATGGGCAACCTCGACTCTTCGTCTAGCAGGGACAAGATGCCCATCTTCCCCTCGATAAGGTCGATGCACGGCTGGTTGTCGGAGAAGTCGATGAAGGTCCAGTCGATCTGCTCCCTGAGGTATTCCTCCTGCTCGAGTTTGAAGACGTGCTGGTTGAACTCCTGCTGAAGCTTCTCGTTGGCGTAGTTGATGCAGAACTGCTCGAACGAGTTCTTGGCGAAGTGTTCAAATCCGTAGATATCCAGGACACCGATGAAAGAGCTGACCCTGCTCAGCACATCCTCGGTAGCCAGACTGCGGTTGATAATTTCCACAAGCCAGTCGAACAGGCTCGAGTAGATGAACTTGGCAACGGAATCCCGGACGACAATGGCCTGGGCCTGGGTCAAGTTGGACGTGATCTTCTCCCCACGCGTGACAAGTTGCTTCTTCACGATCCACTTGGCGAACTCGGTCGAGTCAATACCAATGATGGAGCAGGCACGTTGCAAAGACGGCTCTGTCGGGGCAAGCACACTGTCGTTTCGAGAAGCGCCAATCTTGACGTTTCCCAGGTGCAACAAGCCGGCAAGCAGCCTGAAGATGTCGGTTTGCTGTGCCTCGCTCACCCCGATCGTCTTCAGTGATTGCCTAGTCGCCCGGTATTCAGCCTTGTCATCCACTCCGTCGATCGTCGGCATGTTGCCCTGGTTGAGATAGTCGAATTGGTCGACAGGGAGGAGGTTTAGCTCCTGGCGCTCCTTGTCCGATATGCCAGCGACCATCTGGTAAAAGATGTGGTAGTTCCGTTCCTTCAACGGCTGGAAGACCAGCCTCGACCGCTCCAGCAGGTAGGTTCTGATCTTGGCGCCGATGATGCTGGTCTCCTTGTCGAACATGATCTCGATGTACTTCCCGAACCGCGACGAATTGTCGTTTCTGGTCGTCTTCGCATTGCCAAAGGCTTCCATGATGGGGTTCGTGGCAAGGATTGCCTCCTCGGTCGCGCTCATCGCCTCGGACCCCTTCTTTGACCTAGCCCCCGGGTTTCCTGGCGTCTCTCTTGTCGCGAAGTAGCGCATGATGTACTTTGCACTGACCGTCTTGCCCGCTCCTGATTCGCCCGACACGACGATGGTCTGGTTCTTTTCGTCCCGTAGCATGTCCCTAGATGTCCATTAGCTCTAGCTCGGTAGCTTGTGAAGTCCGCCACGGGCATCGTTACATGAAAGCCTCTTCAGCGATGGCAAACAGATGGGGAGCCTGGGTTGCCCTCTGCTTCCCGGCGTACACCTGCACCATTCCCGGGACGTAGAGCGAATCGACACGTGCGAAGGGGTTCGTGGCTATCAGCACTATGCCGCTGTATGTGTATATCTCCTTCTGGGCATATCTCAGACGGATAGCTTGCAGGACTGCCCGCGGGGGGAGGAATGGTTAGCAAGGCAATGTCGATTGCAATGGGACAGGGCCAATATTACCAGCTGGCTCGTTGAGGTGGGACAGGTTGGTTAGATCATCGCTGGCCTCGAGCATGGTCGGGTTCATCAGCGGTGGTAATGACGGATCGCTACCGGTCTGAAGGGCCTCGAGAGAGATCTCGAGTTTCCTAGTCTGCGAACCGGATTAAAGGTCAGCATTCTGTTGGTTGGGGGGGGGGGGGGGGGGGCGAAGGAAAAAAGATTGCGGGCAAAGGGCCGGGGAAGAGTAAAAAGCTTACGTCCCCAATTTCAAAAATAAAAACAAGGGTGACCTTTTACCCAAAAACCGTCTTATTTATTACCA